AAAATCCTGCTCCTTCCATAGCAGAATTTCAGAGACGATTTAGTTCCTTTGGGCTACTGAAGCCTTAGTTCGGGTTAGTTGACCGCCGCCTATTGCTCGGCGTTATATTTTTACGGCCGGGTAGGTGGCATACTAACGCCAACCCTCATCTTTTCTCATTCGGCTTTGGGGCCAGCAATGGAAAAGGTCACGACCCTCAGCACTGAGGAAAACGACGCACGGAGGAGGGGAATTGTAATTAAATTTATATGTGCACAGATTATTAAAAATATATTACTAACTAAATACCATTTTTATAGACTAAATTAATAATTGAATCAGAGAATTCAAATCAGAAGTAAGAATTCTTAAAACTTATAATTATTTAAATATTTAATAGGAAAATTACGTAATCTAAAATGTGTTAATTTAGCAAAAAAAAAGAGCTATGGATCTGACCATAGATTCACATTAAAATTTGTATTTGCAAATACTTTTAAATTCGTTTAATTATCATCAGAATTTTAATGTGATCATGTATGTGTCTCTCGTGGTCAAAGAGTTTACAATAAATATTTGTCGACAAACTCGAGGAACTAGTAAAGCTTTTCTGTTTATTATCTTTGTAACAGAATAATGTAGATATCCCTGGATTGAATCGTCTTGTTGATCCAGTGGCTGGTAATTCGTACTATGGTACTAAAGTGTATAAATTTAAGTCCCGGTCTTTTGCGTGAATTTTCACATTATCCGACATTTTCACATCACATCTCACAACACTTGTTCGCAGCATCTGTTCACAACTTAATCTAACCCAATCTATCATAAGAAGGAGGGAGCCTGGAGATCAGTAATAAAGGTCTTTGAGCCTAGCACAGAGGTTTTCTTTCAAAGGTTTACAAAATAAATTATAAGGTTAATTTCTATTTGTATTTGTACTATACCTTTAAGAGAGAAATAAAATAAATTATTATTATTATTTTCGTAGTCTGGACGCGATCGCCTTGTCTCAAATGCGTCAGAATAAAATACGTCTAACACTAGGAACAGGCTTAGGGACCCCGGTAACCGTACTCGTCGAACTTGACAAAGAGGTCGACGTGCAACCTAACCCATGCATTAGCCCGCTGAGTTTCTCGCCGGATCTTCTCAGCGGGTCGCGATTCCGATCCGGTAGTAGATTCATTCGCGAAGCAGTTTCTCTTGAGTTATTAGGTCTCCTTCGGAAGCACTCGGGCAGCTGTTAGCGAATGCCACCCCTCCTGGCTGAGCCTTTGCTCGCCCACCTGTCCTGGTGAAACTGAAAAGGCCTCCGGGCCACCAGTAATCCCTCAATCATTAAAAAAAAGGAAAATACGAGAAAGTCCTAGTTTTGGAGTTGAGAATATGAATTTTTTCAACGAGTATCGTTATAAATAGCGGCTCCTCAATCAATGAAGAAGTACCGTAAAATATGAATATTTGAAGCAAGACTATGTTCACAATACTTAGCATAGCGGGTCCCTATAGAATGTTTATCTTAAAGCGTTTACTGTCAATCAGGATTAAATCTATGTTTAAACTAACACAAGTCGTGCCCCGCGTTTTTTTTTTTTTTTTTTTTTTTTATTGCTTAGATGGGTGGACGAGCTCACAGCCCACCTGATGTTAAGTGGTTACTGGATCCCATAGACATCCACAACGTAAATGCGCCACCCACCTTGAGATACAAGTTCTAAGGTCTCAAGTATAGTAACGACGGCTGCCCCACCCTTCAAACCGAAACGCATTACTGCTTCACGGCAGAAATAGGCAGGGNGATGTTAAGTGGTTACTGGATCCCATAGACATCCACAACGTAAATGCGCCACCCACCTTGAGATACAAGTTCTAAGGTCTCAAGTATAGTAACGACGGCTGCCCCACCCTTCAAACCGAAACGCATTACTGCTTCACGGCAGAAATAGGCAGGGTGGTGGTACCCACCCGCGCGGACTCACAAGAGGTCCTACCACCAGAGCGTTTTCGCTCGCGTAAATTTTTCTGTTGTTTCCTCGTGACAAAAAGTAGCTTGCGACCCTTTCAGGTTTGTACCAGCGAACCCTCTGTCGTATTTGATATATCAGACATACCCGGCATTGTCAGTTGTGAGGTATCATGGCAAAATTCTCCTATATTCTTCATCCGGGTTAAAGACCATACTTGTGTGAAATTTTATCGAAATATTTTTTTTTTAATTGCTTAGGTGGGTGGACGTTCGCACGGACCACCAAATGTTAAGTGGTTACCGGAGCCCACAGATATCTACAACGTAAATACCACCACTTACCTTGAGATATGAGTTGTAAGGTCTCAGTTTTTACAGTACAACGGCTGCCTCACCATTCAAACCGAAACGCATTACTGCTTCACGGCGGAAATAGGCAGGGCGGTGGTAACTACCCGTGCGTACTCACAAGACGTCCTACCACCAGTAATCACGCAAAATATAATTTTACGGGTTTGATTTTAATTACACGATGTCATTTCTTTACCCTGAAAGTCAATGAAGAGCATTTTTTAAGACATTAATTATTAGAAAAATCGGTACTTTTCAGCGGGACTCGAACACCGATGCATCGTTAAATACGAATGCACCGGCCGTCTTATCCTTTACGCCACGACGCCGACTTAATTTTATTACGATTAAGTGATAAACAACCACATGTGCAAACATATCGACAATCTAATATATAAAATTCTCGTGTCAAATGTTCGTTCCCATACTCCTCCGAAACCTCTTGACCGATTCTCATGAAATTTTTTATGCATATTCAGTAAGCCTGAGAATCGGCTACTATCTATTTTGCATACCCCTAAGTGATTAGGGTTGTCCACCCCTAACATATTATTTTTTATTTGGACATATTTTTTTTGTTATAATGAGGTATTATGGGGTGAATGAGGTTTTGTTATTTTTATTATATATTCCCTCATCGTTCACAGCACTACATACCTCTTTCACTCATTTACCACATCCTTACACACTTACAATAAGTTAGTTTTTTTTTCTAAACTAGAAATTCCCTAGATATCTTATATATGGCAAAACAATATTTGCCGGGTCAGCTAGTGTTAGTATAGTTTTGCACGAAACATCAACGTGACTCGAATATTAACTGTAATGCAGATTAACGTATTGTTGTAACTTTATTAAGACGGGTTTCTAGGGTGTACCCGGTATTTCTCGTTTATATTCACTTGTAAATGATGATCACACATTTCTTATACATTGGAAAACTCAAACGTAATTAAATACTACTATTTCGATTGAATCTCGCTTCCTTTGTTGCCATTTCATTATTTCCGACGATTGGCATAATAGCCCGAAATTGAAATATATTGGCGAATAACTCCTTAATCGAGCGAGACTAGTGTGGGCAATACACGTTATTACGGATCCTCCCGATCCATTAACGGTGCTTTAAGGTACCACAAGCACCGATTACCGTTCTCGTCGAACCCGTCGCTTGCGACAAAGCGCCCGACCAGTAAATTAACCCACAGACACAGCCCACTGAGTTTCTCGCCGGACCTTCTCAATGGGTCGCCTTTCCGACTGCTCTTGCTAGGGCCAGTGTTAGGAACACTCCAGTTTGAGTGCCGAGAGCTCACCTACGATAGGGTAAAGCTGAAATAGCCTCTCAAGGCTATCAGTAGAGGTATGAAAAAAAAGTGGGCAATCATAAAGGCGGGTTTGAAACTGTAATACTAATTTTAACACGTTCACTGTCATGTTTTTTTTTTATTGCCCTTGTAGACAGACGAGCATATGGCCTACCTGATGGTGAGTGGTTACCGTCGCCCATGGACGTCAACAATGCCAGCGGCAGAGCCAAGCCGCTGCCTACCGCTCAATTGTGTAGGTCACCGGTGCCCTACGCGGCGCACTGTAGTAGTTATGTCGAATTTTCTCTCCGATCTTCGTATTCTTGTTCTATATCGTTCCCTCACTGCCGAGGATCGTGACCACATGTGACGTTCGTCCACTGTGTTCGATCATGGGTGGCATGGACCGCATGGTACAGACTACCACCAAGTGCTTCACTTACTAGATCTGACCGTCTGGCAGGTATTATACCCACGGCGCGCTTGCCCTCTATGCGACCCGCAATTATGCGCTTCTCTAATCACGTCTGGGAGACCGCATGATGCATCCAAAGAAGCTCATAACACGTATTAAGTCGCCGGAATATCTAGTAGACGCTGCGAAAGACTAATCCGAAGATAGACAGAATGAATTTTCTGTGAGACTTAAAAGACTTTAACGTACACCAACATACAATGAAAGGTAAAGTTAGGCAATCCAGGCGCTTAGTAACAGAAATCTAACGCCCATAGACATCAACAACGCAAATACCACCACTCACCTTGAGACATGAGGCTCCAAGTCTAGTCAAGTTCTATAGTACCTACAACAGCTGATGCGCCCTTCACACAGAAACGCATTACTGTTTCGTAGCAGAAATAGACTGGGTTTCCAAGACGCCCAAATTTCTATCAGCCCACAGACGTCCAGCGCTGGACATAGGCCTTCCTCAAGCCTCGTCAAAAATGAGGCGATTCGCAGGAAAACCACGGTAACCGACATATCCCAAAGGATTGCGAAGTTGAAGTGGCAGTGGGCAAGGCACATTGCTCGTAGAACGGATGGCCATTGGGGCCGGAAAGTTCTTGAGTGGCGACGCCCAAAATCAATACTAATATATAAATCTACAGTGGTTTTTACGGATGTTCCGTTATAACTACTGAACCATGCATCCGATTGACTTGAAACTTTGTATCCATGTAGGAAATACATGTACTTAATGGAAAGACTAATATTTATATGAGCATTGAACTCCCTACACCAGTTGCGGGGGCGTTAATGATGAGAATCTTTGTGGGAGTGAGAAATAATAATGTTAATTTTAATTGCCCAGCAAAGCGGACGGGTACAGCTGGTCACCAATAAAAACATGACATTTTACAATTAATTAAAATGTCAATTTGTTTTGTTACAGAAAATCTCACAAGACATCATGAGTAGACTTCTGTAGACTATTCAGGCTATATATAGCTATAGTCAGCCTATGGTTCGTTCTGATGGAGATTTCGACTGACGAATGAAGGAAGCGAACGGGAGCATGGTTGGACCGTAGGATGCGTCTCGTGTCGACGCTACTATACGCAACGCTGCTTCTGTGCACTCGGGTTTGCGCCTTCATACCCGGTATTGACGGTAAATTAACTAACATTTAACTATAAGACGAACAGATCTATCTTAATCTCGTTAAGCTTCTTCTTCATACCTTTATCCCACATTAAGTAAGGTCGTCGCAGCATATCCTATTATCATTCTGCATAGAGATTTGGCATGAGTTTTACGACCGAGCTTTTCTTTTTATTACTTTTATGAGTGGACGAGCTCACAGCCCACCTGGTGTTAAGTGGTTACTGGAGCCCATAGACATCTACAAAGTAAATGCGCCACCCACCTGGATATATAAGTTCTAAGGTCTCAAGTATAGTTACAACGGCTGCCCCACCCTTCAAACCGAAACGCATTACTGCTTCACGGCAGAAATAGGCAGGGTACCTACCCGCGCGGACTCACAAGAGGTCCTACCACCAGTAATCACAAGAGGTCCTACCACCAGTAGCTTATGTCTCCGCATATCCAAATTGACTATAGGGAGAGACTTTTCTGTTCCTTCTTTTAGTGTCTCTTTTAGTTCATCCGTTTTTGGTCCTTATAGGTATTGCATTTGGTTATAACCCTTACTGAGTTAATATAGGCAATAAATTTCATAATCATCACAAGAGTAATATCCCCACCGCAGTAGATGACGACGATCCGCCCATTTTTCCAGCTCATTGAAGAACAAAAGATTCGGTAACACGGAGAGTATTAACAAAACAGTGGAAATCAAAGGATAATAAAACTAAATGTTTCCTGTGGGAATCTCTTTTGGACTTTTTACTCGTATTGTGTGATGTGACTTTTTGATTAAAATTCTCGATCAAAAGTACAAAATTTTCTAAGTAAACAATTTTTCTAACACGTATTTTACAAATAATGTTCATGATGAAGGAACAAAATCTTAAGATAAAAAGAAACGCGAAAAACCATTATCTGCGAGTATACGTATGTGGCGGTAGCTATCATAAAACACAAGACAGATGACTGAATGGCGCTAACGATATTTTCAAGATAAGTTTGAATAAATTACCATACGGAATTCGAAAAAATATTAATTTATATTCTCACGTCTATTCGTAAACCGAATTTAATAATTTTCATGATTTCTTTAGTTACCTATTAATAAACTCTACATTCTTCTATTCTTAGTAATTATTAAATTTGCGAATTAGTAAATTTGCGGACTATTAAATACGTATTATGTTTCTGTATTAAAAATGAAATCTACCAGCGGGATTTGAACACAGGCATCGTCGCATCGCTCGATACGCTTACACCGGACGTCTTGACCGTTAGGCCACAACATTAAAATGGTAACACAAATGAAATGTAACACAGAATTCTATCTCGTGTCTGCAAGTTGGCAATAACCAAGCACTAGATGTCAACAAAAAAAAAGTTCGCACGCGTGACCAATGGAACCGCATCCGTCTTCTTCTTCCTACCTATGCTGATAGCCTTGAGAGGCTATTTCGGCTGCACCCTAACGTGTAGGTAGGCTTACGGGGCTCAAACTGGGAGTGTTGCTAACACTGGCCCTAGCAAGAGCAGTGCTTCGCAGAATCTACCACGGGATCGGAAACGCGACCCACTGAGAAGATCCGGCGAGAAACTCAGTCGGCTGTGTCTATGGGTTAATTCGCTCGTCGAGCCCTTCGACCGGTTCGACGAGGACGGTGACCGGTGCTTGTGGTACTTAAAAGCACCTTTAATGGATCAGGAGGATCCGTAATGACATGTTTTGGACGGCATCCGTATCTATACCAGAACTGTATGACATTCAAATACTTCAGGTCCCCTCTCACACCAAGAAGCACTTGAAGGTGGAAACACAACATTCCTCTGCGACACAACCCCTGACTCCTCGGGAGATGAGTTCATGATATTAGTCTGGTACAAAAACAACATTCCCATCTACAGGTGAGTCTAAATCCCACGTCAGTGTACTGAGTAATTTTAAATTAAATCAAACAAATCCTAATTAGAACTACATTTACGGTTCAATCCCACGTTTTTTTTATTATCATTTTATGATATCCAATTGCACTAAATGTTTTTCGTCTGCGACTACGTTAATTGTAGAGTATTCGAAGCGTTGGGAATGACGCGATGATAATAAAATATGTGAGATTAAGCCGTAAAAGTAGATGTAATCAGCTCTACGACTCGCTAAAGCCGAAGAAAATACTGCAGTGAAATCTGGGCGCTGTAATTATCGCTACGTGTAAATGTTAGGAATGTCTCTAAATTTAGTTCTGTGATAGAAGTCAGTTGTATTCTTATAAGGCTGTCTCCTCCTTCAAACCGAAACGCATGTCTGCTTCAGAGATCAGATAATGCCTTGTTATCAATATTATTTTGGCGTCTAAGCCCCGCGCTAGCACCTCTTTGGGCTCACGGAAGGCTTTTTTTATCATGTTTTTTTTTATTGCTTAGGTGGGTGAACGAGCCCACCTGGTGTCAAGTGGGTACTGGAGCCCATAGACATCCACAACGTAAATGCACCATTGATATATAAGTTTAGTTTTAGTTACAACGGCTGCCCCACCCTTCAAACCGAAACGCATTACTGCTTCACGGCAGAAATAGGCAGAGCGGTGGTACCCACCCGCGCGGACTCACAAGAGGTCCTACCACCAGTAAAAAATGTCATGTCTACGAATCCTTAAAAGCTTCAAAGACACGAAAGCTCTGTCGGATTAAAACGGACAAATTCGAGATCCTAAAACATTTTAGCTTATTAAAAGGACCTTGCTTCTATAATACGCTGCAGATAAAGATGGTTTTTCTTCGCAAACTTCATTCCGTAACTCGAAGTGTACATTCCGGCAAAGGACTCTTAGGGAACTCAAAACTGTCGTTTCATTACAAACGATCGTCATTTTTCATGCTCACGATTCCGGCAAATGAATCATTCATCATAGCGGACCACATAATATATTACTGTTCGGAGTTTACGAGTGTTTGTTAGTGCGGAAGTTTAATTGACACACACTGATATTCAGTGATATTCAGAATGTACATATGTAGACAAATCGCTTTTTTTTATTGCTTAGATAGGTAGACGAACTCACAACCCACCTGGTGTTAATGGAACCCATAGACATCTGCAACGTAAATGCGCCACCCACCTTGAGAGTTCTAAGGTCTCAGTATAGTTACAACGGCTGCCCCACCCTTCAAACCGAAACGCATTATTGCTTCACGGCAGAAACAGGGGTGGTGCTACCTACCCGTGCGGACTCACAAGAGGTCCTACCACCAGTAATTACGCAAATTATAATTTTGCGTGTTTCATTGTTATTACACGATGTTATTCCTTCGCCGTGGAAGTCAATCGTGAACATTTGTTAAGTACGTATTTCATTAGGAAAATTGGTACCCGCGTGCGGGATTCGAACACCGTTGCATCGCTTGATACGAATGCACCGGACGTCTTATCCTTTAGTCCACGACAACAGTACAGTACAGTCGCCTGTAATATAGCTACAACAAAAACACACATAAGCACGATCCTGCTTATATTTTATCTGCCTCGAAATAAACTTGCGCTTCGGCTACAACTGTAGCTCGACCGCTACGCAATAATAAGCTTTAGCTGTTTTTAAGTACAGGCTGACAGTCCCAACGACATTCATTTTGGGTGCTTCGATGCCGCAGCATTTTCATTGGCGAAATAAAAAAAAACTTCTTTTTTTAATTAAATTATAAAAAATTAATTGCTGCGTTCATCGACAGTGCGTTTCCGGAGGTCTTTTTTGCCACGTACCCTCCACGGCGTTTTCCAAGCGCTATGACATGTCCTTCTTCAAACGAGGCTTGTAGAGGGTATTAGACGGTAGGCAGCGGCTTGGCTCTGCCCCTGGCATTGCTGAAGTCCATGGGCGATGGTAACCACTCACCATCAGGTGGGCCGTATGCTCGTCTGCCTACAAGAGCAATAAAAAAAAACATCTTCGATAGACGGACACTCTTCTAAAACAGTTTCATTGTTTAAAAAACTAGTCAAACCCGACCCTATTTGGTGACAGATACTAAATTTCACTAATGATCCGATCGCTACCAACACAGGTTAATCCGCTTGGCCAATCTTAAGATACATCCTGAAGATTTCATCACAGTCGGTCCAGGATTTTCGGGAACTATAATCATCTTTTCAAATTTAAATTACCCTCTTGGCCTCCAAGAAGAAAACTTGCAAAAGTTACCTTTTTAAAATTCTCAAAAATACGACCAACTGTACAATTCACAGCGTACTTTTCACTTAGCTGAGCGACTGGATCTGCGCCAAATTTCGGGCTTAGTAAGTTCTTTTGAGTCTCGCAAACAAAAATTTCAACATTTCAATTCAAGTCGGGTCTAAACTGGATATAGACTGTAGTAAACAAATAGAACTGAACGTAAAACTCACTCCCTATTTTATCCCCTAAAACATACAAAACTAAACCCCGTGGCTTCCAAACAAGGGAATTAAGCTTTTAACTAAACCCTGTGGCTTCGAAGCAAAGGTAATTAAGCTCTTCCGGAAATTGACAACATCATTCGGAACGTTGGTCTACTGAGCAAAAATATCAGTTGAGCTCTAGTCATTTCTTCTTCTGGTATTTTAAAAGGATTAACTGGATAGCCAGTAACATTGTATGAGTATTATACCATATAACCACCATCGACATCGGTATTTATTGAGGGTAGGGCGTAAGTCATCCCCATTCTGATCTTCATGTATCCATTAAGCACCAGGTTTTTTTTTTATTGCTTAGATGGGTGGACGAGCTCACAGCCCACCTGTAAATGCGCCACCCACCTTGAGATATGAGTTCTAAGGTCTCAGTATAGTGAGAACGGTTGCCCCACCCTTCAAACCGAAACGCATTACTGCTTCACGGCAGAAATAGGCAGGGCGGTGGTACCTACCCATGCGGACTCACAAGAGGTCCTTTCACCAGTAAGAAAGACCGCGGCAGACCCCGAGCTCATTCAGCCATTAAAAAAATCAAGTTTAGGTGGTAGGAATCATCATTCTTCCAGCTTCGAGATCCCCGATCGGGAATGGGCGGACTCCACGTTCAACGCGACAGGTCGGATGTCGGCGGACGTCCGCAGCCAGCCGACTGCCGTCACGGTGTCTGCACTCACAGAAGATGACCAGGCCGTCTATCACTGCAGAGTCGACTTCCGATTGTCTCCAACGCGCAACATCGGCGTCAACTTGACCGTTGTTGGTAAGATTCTTTTTTGCTTTTCTTTTGGTAAAATGCATTAATTTAATATATACAAATAAAACGTAAATTTTGTTCTTTCGTTGTCTGTATTTTGTTGAAAGAATAGTTTAAAAACAACAACAATAAAATACAGTTCAACAGCAAACAGAATTAACGATTAATTTCGTTTTTTTTGTTTTTCTATTAACACTCGTGTGTTAAACAATGCATCTTCTTCTTATCAGCCCATAGAATGCATATTCGACCATAATCCCTGACACCTCAGGGCTTAGATTCTTTAATATGAGAATTAGATTTTCTCTTTGTTTTATTTAATGATATTTCGAAAAAAACCGACTATCTTCAATTTTTTTAATTGGCAGCCCTGTAGCCGATAATGGCTGCCAAAAAAAAAAATCGGTTGACAAAAGGAATGAAAAAACTCTTAGTCTTTGTCTATTAATACCTAATTATTTTATGATTTACGAACAGTGCTTACTAATAATAGAACCGATAATACCACCATCACTCTACGAATAAATAATTAGCCAACGATTTATTTATGTCTAGTATACATAATATGCATCTGAGAGTTTAAAGAGACAAATCAGTCTCTGTAGCGCTATTTGGAATTGGTTAGGGCGATAAACTATTGCTCTGTATATATGCTTCCGAGTATCTGAAATATTCGTAGATATCACGAACCTATTAATCGTGGTACCACGTGGTACTAATCCTCGTATCTATTTCTTTCGGCTTCGCGATGTGACAATGTCGGAACGGTAAACGAGAGGTTAGATTTTAAATTTAATTTGAAAGAAATTCAATCTCTATCGGAAAACTTCTATTACTTATATATTTATGATATTTCTAAAAGGTTACACTGAGTGAAATATGTTTCTTTTCACGGTCACTTTGCGAATTATGCAGACGGAATTAAGTTGAAGTAAATATTATACAACCAATAATTTACCATTAATAATATTATTATACATAGTTCATGTGACCATACTAATATACAAATATAATTCGTACAAAGCATAAAAAGTGACCAAAGTTGAACTAGGTGTTCAGCTTTAGTCACATTTCACAAGGGGTTGAACCTTCATTCCTAAAAGAAAATCAATTAAATGAACATATAGTATTATTTTATTAGAAACAGGTCACTAACCTCGTCGAAGCGTGCACACGCTTAAAAACATGACTCTATACCTATATAGGTATTGTGCAGGTATAGTGTCATGAGCATGGCGGAAGGGTTGACTCACCTTGCGGTGGTCGCAGAGCCGTACCGGGTCCTTTTGGGTCCCGATTGGGCAGGTGACCTTGACGGCCGGGTTGCCATTGTCAGGCGTGGCTGTGTGGGTGCTCCGCCCGGATTCGACCTCGTTGAAAGGGGTCGCGGCTTCGTGGCCGTCCTCTGGGCCGAGATGATCGTGGTGGGAGTATACTNTCCGGCTATGGAATGAGCTCCCCTCCACGGTGTTTCCCGAGCGCTATGACATGTCCTTCTTCAAACGAGGCTTGTGGAGAGTATTAAACGGTAGGCAGCGGCTTGGCTCTGCCCCTGGCATTGCTGAAGTCCATGGGCGACGTTAACCACTCACCATCAGGTGGGCCGTATGCTCGTCTGCCTACAAGGGCAATAAAAAAAAAGAAAAAAAAAAAAAATATATATTTATGATATTTCTAAAAGATTACACTCAGTGAAATGTGTTTCTTTTCACGGTCACTTTGCGAATTATGCAGACGGAATTAAGCTGAAGTAAATATTATACAACCAATAATTTACCAAAATAATAAAAATATAATTATTAAGATACATATATTATAATTCATATGAAGCACAAAATGTGACCAAAGTTGAACTAGGTGTACAGCTTTAGTCACATTTCACAAGGGGTTGAACCTTCATTCCTAAAAGCAAATCAATTAATTGTACGGCATGGCAACATTTAGTATTATTTTATTAAGATACAGGTCACTGACCTCGTCGAAGCTTAGAGCTCGCTTAAAACATGAAATTAATATATTTCTAAGGGATTTTTTGTGTGTGTGACTTACTGTACTCAAGAAAGGAGTTAGAAGGAGAATTGCCCAGGGAAAATAATGAGTCATAAAGGCACTATAGTAACTTATAATTGAAAAAAAAAACAGTGATAGTCGAAATACACCCAATCTCGCATTCCTCTGTCATGTAACTCTAACATCTGTCTGCAAATTTTTTACTTAATTAATTATGAAAAATTATAAAAAAATCACCTCTGTTACATATTTATGGTTATTTGTATTGATCAGACTAGTGAAACCAGTTAGATTCCACTCTCACCTTGACTTAAGCGTTTATAAATTTATAAATTTACATACATTTTTTTGAGATGTCGGGCGCCATCTGTTATTTGTTGATCGTACTAGATTATACTCTATAATGCTAATCTGACGTATACAATATTAAAATTTGAAATTCCATTAAAACCCATCTAATAGTTTTTGCGTGAAACAAACACTTGCAAACTTTTGCAATTTGACTTAAACTACAAATAGAAAGATTTAATTCCGACAAGAAAAACCTAATGTGGTCACCCTACAGTTTGTGCCCACACCGCATCCATCATGGCGACGGCTTGTTTATTTTAAAACATTCCGTAACTTTAAATCGTACCGTAAACATCTTAAATCTCTTTAATCATGCGCGATGCACAAATGTCAATTACATTAGTCCAGTTTACTTTGTAATTGTTGATAGAACGCACTCTTAAATCAAAGCATTGTTACAGATCTAAGGGTTCTTCAAATACATAAATATTAATAAAGACCTGTTAGATGTTTCCATTTCTAGTCGATAAGTGTAAACACAGAAAAATGTTTAAAATCGACTGGCTTAAAGAACTTAACAAAAAGGATTAAGAATCATCAAACATTTATCGCCACCGATACCAGGCGGCTAATTTGGTCTTGAATGGCTACTGTTTGAATTGCCACTGACCTTAGCAAAAGCCAAACCACTGCAGACTCCTCACAAACATCATTTGAAGTAGGCAGACTCACAAGACGTGCTACCACCAGTAATTACGCAAGTTATAATCATTTGGTTCTATGATTTGCATTTTATTGTTATTTCTGCGATAAAATAATGTTCCTTAAAACTTGTTCTTTGGTTCACAGTGCTGCCAAGTCCTCCGTTCTTCATGGACGAGCTTGACAATAAAGTGGAGCGCACAGTCGGCACTTACCACGAAGGCGACACTCTGGTACTGAAGTGTCTGGTAATTGGAGGTAAATAGCATGTAAAAAGTTTTAAATAGTGTTTTTTTTTTCTTTCCCTGCCTAATCGTTAGCAGCGTAAGGGACTATTCCAACTTCACGCGAACCGGTTGGTGAACTCACGGGCTTAACCTGAAAGAATTGCTAACACTAGCTCTAAGAAGAGCAGTGCTTCACTGAATCTACGACCAGATCGGAATCGCGACCCACTGAGAAGATCCGACGAGATACTCAGTGGGTAATAGTTATATCTCAATGTACACTTACCTCGTCAGCAACATGGGGACAACACATCATGGGGACTCATTAACGGTGATGAATTTACGCCTAGGCCTCAGAGATCCGGGCCTCCAAGGAAAAAGTTCAAAAGTACCAAATACCCTTCACATACCTAAGCCAAGAAAAAAAAATGCTGTTTCTCCATAGCTATAATTTATCACATATGTTTGCACATTGCTACTTTCTACAGAAGTTTCTAACGTCTGTGTCCTAGCAAGAGCAGTGGATAGAGATGATCTGAAAGTACATGTTTAAAATGACAGCGACTGTTCGGTGTTACTAAACTCGTCAATTGTCATTAAACAAACAATTTTTTTTTTATCTCTGCCTATCTATACGTATAGACAATTTTATAAATCAGACCATTAAGAACCAATGCACGGTATTTCCCTTATCGACGAACAAGTTAATTAACATAGTTCACAGTGAATTCTTGTTTATGAAGAACTTCAAAACCAATTACTGACAGGAACTAAGATGTTTAAGCCAATGCAAACGTAATGAGCAGGCTCTCGGATAATATGTTAAGGCAATTTATTCGAATGCAGGTTTTTATTTATCAATTATCCGAACGTTACTTGATTGCTGTCGATCGATTTAAGGCCTTAATAACATTCGTTTTATGACCAATTAAATAGTCAGATTGTGGATTTGTTAAATGAGATGTAGAGAATTTAATGTCCGTATCGTGATTATTGATCTATGGACGAACTAGTTCATAATAGCCTTATTATCGCATCACAATACCATCACCTTGATACATAACTTCAGTCGTATTTATAGTCAGAATTCAGTTTTTGGTGTCAGTGACATCTGCATAACAAGGTCACCAACAAATTGTGTAACATTTGTGATGTGCTTTGTCTTTAGCGCCATCTTATGCTGCTAAGAGTAAATTAAGCCTTGCTTAAAATATAACAGATGGCGCTAGTGTACCTTGCATATTTTTTGGTTTCGTAAAATTTAACTAGAAACTTGATTATAAATTTTTGATCGAATATTTCTTCAGCAATTGTCTTATTATAACTATAATTTCCAGGTCGCCCTCCACCCCGCTTGAGCTGGTATTCTGGCAGCAACTTGGTAGACGCATCTGATGCAGACAGTGACATTCCCTCGGTGAGGGAAAATGAGCTTTACCTGCCTTTGACACGGGCCAACGCGGGTTCGATATCCTGCAGAGCTAGTAACACAAATTTAGCGCCACCTGTTGAGTCTAAACTGGATATTGAACTATATTGTGAGTTCTCTTTTGCTCTGCTTTAAATGTACGTCTGAAATTCAAAGCGTTGCGTTCCTTTTTTTTATTAAATAAACATCTAAATCATAAAAAAATATTCAAAATCTGTCTTATTTTAAAATTCCATAATGCACACGCAACAAATATGTAAAAGAACTGAAGACATTATTAATTTGTAACGATAAGATTAAATCAGTTCTACTGATTGTAAATTTGATTTTATAGCCACAATTAATTAGATCGAATCGTTGAAATGTGCGGTTTGAAACTATAGCTTCATCTCTAAATAGTTAGTGTTATATTTATTCAACATTTATTCGACCGTTAACAAGAATTTGTCTTCCAATATCAATAGCTCTGTGTGCTTAGAGTGAGTTTTTAGAGTTTTCTATAGCGTAAAATGAATGGATGAAAATTTGTATGGAGTTGGAAAAGCGCCCCTAGCGGAAATCGTACGCAAACGCTCCAACTCCATACAAACTCGAATTAACTTTTACGCTATCGAGAACGTAAAAAAACTCGCACTAAGTACACTGATGGAACAGCGCCCTTAGCGGCAAATCTAGCCAAACGTTCTAATTCCATTCATATTCGAGTTAACGTTTACGCTATCGAGAGCGTTAAAAACTCGCACTAAGCACACTGCTTCGACATTCCAGTGCCGGCGTACAACGTGTCCATCCACTGGGTGTGGGGCACGGCGGACGGCGTGCTGCGTGCGGGGCACCCCGTGTTGGCCCAGTGCACCGCGCCCGGCTCCTACCCGCAGCCCGACCTGTCCTGGTGGCTGGACCAGAAGCACTTGACGCGACATAGCAATCAGGTACGGGACTACCCGCTGTTTTCTGCTGAATACCCACCTATATTGAATACTAGCGGCACGCACCGGCTCCGCTCGGGTCTTTAACAAAAATTTCAACGACATTTGACGTTGTTTTATTTTTTTAAATAAAAGAAAACTTATTACGGCATAACTATAATAGTTAGACATAATATGCTGTCGCGACACTTTTTGTAAATAATAATGTGTTCTACAAAGTCGTAGTACATTATTTTATTCTATCATCAATAGTTTTCGCAGGGCACGCGATGTAAAGAATATTTTAGGTAATTTTTTTACACCTTGGGTTACATTATTGGAGTTTTAGTAAGGATCCCTAATTTTTTTCAAAAAAGATAGCCTATGTCACTCTGGAATAGTCTAGCTTCCAAACAGTGAAAGAATTTATCGAATCGGTTCAGTAGTTTCGGAGCCTATTCAATACAAACAAACAAACAAATCTTTCCTTTTTATAATATTAGTATAGACAAAACAATAAGTTACTAAGTAGTGTTTAAGTGTTAAATGGGACTTTTTGGCGGGAACGCGAGGAGTGAAGTTGTGTGATTTGTTTTATTTTGTCTATTTAGTGCTTCTTCAGGTTTAAATGTGTAATAACGGTGGTTTATTAACTGTTTAATATCTGTGAAAGTGCACAAATGTGGGAAAATAAAACGAAGCCGCTGGACGTAACTTCTCAGGATCCTCCAAAAAGTCCACTGAAAAAATCACAGTAAATGACCACCGTTTTACTGAGATTATATTTCATCCCGTATCATCTCATCTCATTTTATTTAATTTCATCCCAGTTGATTAATATCTCAAATTAGTCATATTCACTTTATTTCATTTCATTTCACGTCATATTATCATTTTTCATAAAAATAAGAATATAATTTAAAATAAGACATGACTTAAAGGTCTTAGTTACCAGGTCATAAAATTCCTTTAAAAAAAAGCGTTAAATGAAAGTACGGTCAATAAAAGTAAATCCGGTGCCAAGTGACTACTAGAGACCATAATCATCACTAAGTGATTGATTACCTCTACCCACCTCGTCGATTACCTTGCAAAAATCAAATTTTCAACGTCTTGTCGTCAGCTATCAGAGTAGCTCCCCCCACCCAGTATACCTTAAGGCTTAACAATGAATACCTCGCTGTACACATCCAGAGTTGGGTGAGCTCATCCAGCACGGCGATATCGTATCTCGAGCTACATCCGTCGGTGGGCGACGACGGCGCTACGTTAGCGTGCGTGGCCACCAACCACGTGATGGCTCCCAGTCGAAACTCCAAGGCGGATGTCATCACCCTTAACGTCACATGTGAGTTGTCCATCAATTATTACACGTAAACAAACGAACCGTAGTGATTAACCATCAGACACAGCCCACTGAGTTTCTCGCCGGATCTTCTCAGTGGGTCGCGTTTCCGATTCGGTGGTAGAGTCGTCGAAGCACTGCTCTTGCTAGAGCCAGTGTTAGAAAAATGTCTCTAGGTTAGAGCCCCGTGAGCTCACCTAATCGTTCTGTTATAACCCTAGTATGAAGGCTATTTGGCTGACAGCCCTAACCAAGCTACACGATCAGCATTCACGAGCTCTCCTGTTCCGTCCGCCCCGCAAACGGGCAGTCTTCTGCCATCTCCCGACCTGATAAGTCAGTCTTCTCCTATCCCCCGACCTGAGCGGTCGACTCTCAACTCTAAATCAGTGCGCGTGACTATCATCGGACCTCCATATCTTTGTATTTCTTTTTTTTTTTTATTTAAGTGGCGAAACCCGCTATAACAGTTCGGTGAATCTAGTATGACCCCTCGAGGTCACTAGAATAGGTAGGCAACCAACAAAAAAAAAGTGATTAATTAGGATACGCGACAACTTCAAGAGTACCAGATCAGAAAGTCAATGTAAGCTTCATTCTGTGAGCGTTGGTTTTGTTCTTTGAACAATTGTCTAACCCCCTTTTCTTTCAAACTTAGTATTACTAAGAAATGCTTCATTTACTAGGGTCTGTTTGAGTTTAAAAACGCACGCCTCATTGAAGTCAACAATGATAAAGCCGTTGAATTTGTACGATTTCAGATAGTCCATTACTAGAAGTAGTTAGAGTGGGTGACGGAAAACTAAATGAGGTGGTCGAATTGGATCCTCTGCACTTGGAATGCGAGGTCAAAGCAAATCCGCCGGCTTACAAATTTATATGGTATTTTAATGTAAGTAACTGTTGAATATTATATTTAAAACATTTCAATAATGTAATGTACTTTTATTGTTTAATAAAGTTTTCGTCTCAATAACAAAGTTTCATTTATAATAATAAACGAGGATTTTTAATGATAAAGGAATGTCCATTGTACCACTGCTACGCATGCGCTAAATTCGCACCACAATTACTATAATCATGTACTGACCGCACGTTGGATTCTTCAGGATTGCACCAGCAGTAACTCAGGTGGTTATTTCGAAAAACCAATCCACTATTACACAAGAAAACGCTTTTGCCTTCCAAAATAATAAATACCGCAAAATAATAAAACCAACAGTGTGCTCAGAGCGAGTTTTTTTAACGTTCTCGATAGCGTAAAAGTTAACTCAAATTTGTATGGAGTTGGAACAGGGCCCCTAGCGGCAAACGTACGACAGACACAGTCTTTTTTCCGTCTATAAAAATCGCGCTCCGCAAATACAAAACTTTACACCGCTAATTTCCCTCAAGCAGCCAATATTGTGCCTCATAATTACGTCTCAATTGCAGGATAGTGAAATAAAATCGAATAGCGTGTGGGGGGAGAATGTTACCAGCCAAGTATTGTACGTTGAGGAAGCGACCAGGGAACACGCCGGCCGATATTCGTGTGTCGCCGTGAACTCTATCGGCGAAACTAGAGCCGAAAGCTTCACTGTGACCGTGCTTTGTAAGTACATTTCCTATTAACACACTTAATGTCAACTTCACGGCATCGTAAAGGATCGGGAGGGCCAAATAAACAGCGCGTGGCATGATCAATCTATTCAAATTAATAGCGCGAACCCTAATCCAACACTTGATATTATAATCGCTAATTTACGTATATGGTCATGTCCGTCACGTAAAGTTATCGCAACAGTATGCATAAAAAAACTTAATTTAACCCACAGACACAGCCCGCTGAGTTTCTCGCCGGATATTCTCAGTGGGTCGCGATTTCGATCCGGTGGTAGATTCTGCGAAGCACGGCTCTTGCTAGGGTTCGTGTTAGCAACGTCGTCAGGTTTGAGCCCCGTGAGCTCACCTACTAGTTAAGGTTATGCTGAAATAGCCTCTCAAGGCTATCAGCTTAGGTAGGAATAAAAAAAAAGTAAACCTATGTATGTACTCGACCATATACATCACCAGATTAATCACGGTGCCGTGTTGTTGGCACAAAATGTCTTAGACACTTATTGAATGTCTAAGAAGCCTCCGTGACGACTGAAGCGCGCAGAACCAATCGTCCGTACATCACAATAACGAATACAATATATATGTACCCTCAATTGAATCTTTGTATAGATTTCCTACATCCACGTCTGTACGGGCCAGCGCGCACATCATATTGCATACCGATGCACTTTACATTAAAGTCACTCATTTTCCATTCAGTTCGTGTACCGCCATCAGCAAGGCGTCGCGTACTCGCATAATGTCATTTTTATCATATAAATAGTCACAATCAGTGTAAGCATATCAATAAACAATTACTCAATATTGGAGTTGTTATCATTATCACAACAGAGGGTTGTGTGGACAAACCGTACAATGTCTGATCTCTGGGCATCTTTGTCGAATCAAAATCGGTTAAGACCCCCAATAATATTTTCGACTAGATAATGGATATTAATTTCAGACCCACCGGAATGCTCCCACCACGGGATAAGATTAGTTAAAGAAGCTTTAAGCTGCAACGTCAAGGCCTTACCGGCGCCAGACACGTACCTGTGGCATATAGAGCCTTCGGATTCGCTGGAGCAGCGCCTCACGACCGGCTCTCGTCTTCTACCTCTCGACCAGATCACGGGCTCCCTTGATAGAAGTTTGAAGGCTAGTTGCGAAGCGAGCAACGGTATAGCCTCGCAGGAACGTGCCTGTGAGAGGACCTTCTCCTTCGAGCAGCTGAGGCCGCGACAGCCTCAGCAGTGCGATCTCGCGTTTGAACACGGCGAGTTCCACATTAGATGTGTCCCAGGTTGATATAATTAATTTTCTTTCATATTTTCTTTAGCAAGTATTGTTTTCATAGCTCACCGTTTGTTGTAATTATAAAACAAAGGACGACCATCTTACTCTTTAAAAATAGCAGAAATAGACTGGAAAGTGGTACCATTCCGTGCAGGCTCAGTAAAAAAATCTCAGTAAAATGGTGGTCATTTATTGAGATTTTTTCAATGGACTTTTTGGAGGATCCCCAGAAGCTACGTCCAGCGGCTTTGTTTCATTTTCCCACATTTGTGCACCTTCACAGATATTAAACAGTTAATAAGCCACCGTTATTACACATTTAAACCTGAAGAAACACTAAATAGACAAAATTAAACAAATCACACAACTTCACTCCTCGCGCTCCCGCCAAAAAGTCCCAGTCTGGTATGCGTTTTTATGAGCAGCACAGAGAAAAAACTAAATATGGAATAAGGATTTTGTTAGGATTCATGTAAGGTGTACACAAAGAGCCAATATAGCCTATCTATTTATATAGTTTATCTATTTATGACAGCATTATGGTACCTTATTTTTTGTCCCTACTAAAAACTAAGCAAATTTGGCTAGCGCGGTATTGAAATAATTTAAATCCACCACTAATGACATCTCGTATGTTATAATCTGTTTGGCATTGCAGAATCGATTTATAAAACTAAATATTCTTAATGATAATCATTTCGGAACATATCTCGCGAGGTGTTTCGATTTACTTTGATGAGAAATGTATTTACCTACATTGCAGTCGAAAACGCAACGTACTACGAAGTGTCCGTATGGAAACTATCGACGAGTAACAGCTCTTTAGTCCTCGAGAAACGTGCCTCAATGGGCTTCGGGTCCAGTCAGGCTCTGTCTTCTACGGGAAGCACGTGGCTCGTCAGAGCTGGGCTAGGGAAGCTCGGTGCTGGCGACGAAGCGGGCGCCTTGGCCTGCAATAGATACGGATGCTCAAAGGCTTTGCTGTTGAGGCCTAGTGAAACCCTGCTCAAAGCTGCCTCGCCCCCTTGGTGGAATGGTAAGTTTGAATTTGACATAAGCACCATACATGTCTTACTGTAGTAGGGTAAAAGCTCTCACATTCTACCAGCTGTGGCTACCGAAATTTGGGAACCACGACTCGAACGCCCTCGTTAACATCTCGACATATGGTCGTAACCTCAGTTTTATTGTAACCACAGGAATTCTACTCTTTAACCTGAAAATGTGGCACTGGACTTGGCGAAAATATTTAAAAAACGGGATTTTTAACTCTCATAGTGATTTTTTATTAAATAATCGACAAGAGCCAATTACCTAACTTGAGAAATTAAAATAGAAAAAAAACACACACACAATCTAAGAGTTTGATAGTGTTTTCGTCCCGCGATGTATCCGGGCTGAATGACAAAGGGAGCCTAGGAGTAGAAGAGACTCAAGAGAAAGTAGAAGAGACAAGATATTCTCGGTGAATCGCGATTCAGATACAATAGATTCAGCGTAACTCTGCTCTTGTTAGGGCTAGTGTTAGCAAGTTCTCGCTGATTTAGTCCCGTGAGGACGCCTATCAAGTCGTTGAATTAGGAATAGCCCCTTAGGCTAAAAGCGATTAAGTAGGAAAGACTTGTTTACAGCGAACAGTACACGATAACCGTCTCTTTCAGTGCTATTATCGAAGGAAGTGTGCATCCCACTGGTGGCTGCGGTTCTCCTTGTGTTGTTTGCTGCGTCCTCGGCGGCAGCGCTGCGGGCGGCGCGGCGGGCGCGTACCAAGCCGCCCGTCATACAGGTGCTACAACTTGATGACGTCACCAGGAACTTTCTAGACAATCTACCTGGTACTTATCCAAATCGATTATATTATGCTGTTTTTGGATACGTTTTTAAGCTATTGCATAGTTTTTATGGCGGGCTTTGAGCGCGGCGACCGAATCAAGAAATTCCGTAACGAAAATAAAACCTTACACCCCCCTCTCCGCCTACCATGTAGCTCGCGATCAACACATTCACACGTTGCGCTTGTGTAGTGTTTGTGAATAAGCGTGCGGCGTGACGTCGCACTGCATGAGCATCCAGAAAAGTCTGCCCATCTCTCTCTCGCGCGCTCTAACTTATGAGTGTGAAGGGGACAGTTAATGTTTTGCTTTTGTTAATGTTTTTAAGCATAGCGTGGTCTTATTTTATTATTGTTTTAATATTAAATTATTATTGTCTAATTATATTTGCATAAGTTGAAAAAAAATGCTATGCAATAGCTTTACCGCGGCAGTCCCCTAGTGCCACACGTGTTTTTTTTTCTTACCTATTCTAATAACCTCAAGGGGTTATTCTAGATCCGCCGAACTAGTAGGTGAGTTTGCGGGGTTCAAGTCTGACGTTATTGCTAACACTGGCCTTAGCAAGAGCAGTGCTTCGCAAAATCTACCACCGGATCCGAAACGCGATCCACTAAGAAGATCCGGCAAGAAACTCAGTGGGCTGTGTCTGAGGGTTAATTTACTCGCCGAGCCCTTCGTCGCAAGCGACGGGTTCGACGAGAACGATGAATGGATGGGAATGAAGTACGACCTTAAAAAGTACCACATACGGGCATTTCAATAAGATTACGACTCTATCTAGTGATTTTAGAATAGTCAATTTATTGTTATTGCTATTGTCGGCAAACGAGCATACGGGCCAATTGACAGTGAGTGGTTACTGTCACTCATGAGCGTCAGCAATGTCAGGGGCAGAGCCAAACCGTTGCTTCCTGAATATTTGTACAAATTTTGTATTTCTTTGCACAAATGTCTTTAATTTTTCTATTTCAACCTACCCACACCTGTATTACCTAACTTAATAAGCTTTATCTTTGCGTGCTCACTGCGGATATTTCACGAACGGCTTCTTTACATAACAAAGTTGACACTAGCCATGCTCTTGGGAAAAAAGTTTTTTTTTTATTTGTTTTTTTTTTAGAAGTTAATTTTTGCATACGATACTCTAGCAATAAATCGAATTCATATTATCAAAAAAAATTGTCGCTTGTGGTATATGAGATGTAAGAGTGACGACGTTACAGAGCACAAACTGCAAGCGTCGTGCAGTCTGCGGTCATGCAGCAGCGGGTACTCGGAGGGCTCGCAGCGCTGGGGACCGCCGCCGCCCGACGTCACCCTCACGCTGCACAGAGAGAGCGCCGTGTGAACAGTGCGCTTAGTGCGAGTTTTTAACGTTCTCGATAGCGTAAACGTTAACTCAAATTTGTATGGAGTTGGAACGTTTGCCTACTTTACCTTTTTTTTTACTTTTTACTTTGCCTTTTTTACCGGTGGCAGGACCTCTTGTGAGTCCACGCGGGTAGGTACCAACGCCCTGCCTCTTTCTGCCGTGAAGCAGTAATGCGTTTCGGTTTGAAGGGTGGGGCAGCCGTTGTAACTATACTGAGAGCTTAGAACTTTGAAACTTTACGTTGTAGATGTCTATGGGCTCCAGTAACCACTTAACACCAGGTGGGCTGTGAGCTCGTCCACCCATGTAAGCAATAAAAAAAATAAAATAAAAACGTTTGCCGCTAGGGGCGCTGTTCCAACTGCATACATATTTGAGTTAACTTTTACGCTATCGAGAACGTTAAAAAACTAGCACTAACTGATGTTCAGTTTTACGTATCGATGGCGTTAACGTACGCCACGATTATTGTGTATCCCGGAACCCGAGAAGGAACCGGTCATTGACCTTTGAGTGTGGGGCAGGGATAGCCAAATATTTTCAAAATCGGTTCGGTTTTCGTTGACTTGTTTAGTTTTAGTATCTTACGCCGAATTTTATGTACGAAAACCGTAAAAGTTTCGTAAAATGGAAAATAAAAAAAAAACAGAACGATTCGGTGTTTCAACATAGGAAGTCCTGTATTTTTATAAATTAGCTCGTTTTGTTGTATCAGCATCCTGGGAATATGTCGCGATGCCGCTATCAATATTCAAGAAAGACATAATACTCCTCAACGAATAAAGAAAGTTCTCGTGACAAAAATATAAAACAAAAAAAAATATCTATCAATTCGGACGTGTTCTTTTAAAAATCTGTGGAACCTGGATTATTTCAAACTCAAATCGTGACCCACATTAAACGTGTCCAGTGAATGTTGTTATATTCACGATCAGCCAGTTTTTATAGAATAAGTTCTTGAGAATGGGCACTGAAAACCACCAGACAGTGTGCATACTCTTCTAGCGTTGATAATAACTGTGAAGAGCTTATCTACTTACTTTGATCATGCCTAAACGCGTAGCTACAAATATTACAAGCGCGTAGTTACAAAATGCAATAACATTTTTCTCAGTCACGTTAATATTCAAGGTCATATTTAGTTGCTAAATAGTTAATTAAAAGTGAAATTTATTGTTGTTGTTATTAAATTCCGTAATACTGCGACAGATTAATTAAATGAATTCGGAAGCATTTGAGTCGTCTATTATCAAAGGTGGCAAATCTGTGCATTTGGACAAAAAAAATTTATTGATATTTCAATACAGATTGATTTAAATATAATCGTCTCCTTCAAAGAATACGGTTCAAAACCTGCATTTAATAAAGGTTAATACTTAACCTGTTATTTATCTAAGATGTCGTTCAGAAGAGTTTTGTGACTGCCAATGTCAATAATTCGTTTTTCTGATTTACCAATAATTATCCAAAAGTCACATTGCCGGCTTTGATAATAGTCGACTCATTTGGCAAAATCTAGTTACATACTGGTATAATATCACCATTATATTGGCATATAAGAATAAACAATATATTTTTTTTAATTCGCCTTCTAGTCAATGTGTTTTAAGGTAGGCGATGTGCGTATCTACTTAATCCAATAAAGTTCTTTTGAGATAAGTATTTAAGTTCAATTTTCTTCAGTAAACGACTCGTAAATTATATTTTAATGTGCAATTTATTTAAGCCTTACTTAAATTCTTGATAAGTTTAGATATTTGTCCGCCGATAATCTAAATGAGACAAGAATCCTTACGAAAAAATAATCCAAACGACAGTCAACCTGACAGGGATACCTATAGCATGGATTAAAAATGGATATTTTAATTCTATGTGAATAATTACCATTTATATTTTTGCATTAGCACCCTTACCACATTATGTGTTATGTTTTTTCAATAGGAAACTCATAGAAGTAATATGTTTACTCTAAGAAGAAACTACATAATGTTAAAAACTATGCTATGTAAGTTCTTTTTTTCTACGACAGATGGCGTTTTTTTAAATTTTTTTCATGCAGACTTATAAATCGAAAACTATTTTGAGACAAGTTAAAAAATAAGACAAATAATACTTGAATGTTTTATTTAAAAAATGATCGATGAGATAAAGTTGGTAACTTCAAATATTGTTTTGCGCAGGTACGTGTAAGATCTGCCCATTACCAATACCGCTTATTACTACCGCGAAACAAACAACCGTAATACCATTCAATAGACACTTCTCTATCTCATGTCAGGAGGCAGGTGTTCGCATTCACATTGACATGTATTGACATGACAATGCCCAATTACCACTTCATAACCGCGTGAGTTCGTTCACTCGTCTTAGTAAAAGCGAATTAAAATTGTCATGAAATTTAATAGTGAAAACTTTTTTTTGTAGGTAATACAATGTCGTCTTTGACTTAATTCTGCTATGATTTCTGTGCAATAATTATGTAGGTTGTTAACTATGGGCTTTCAGTTTATTTTTCGTTTACAAAGTTATTATTTTTGTATAAATTAAAATATCTTGATTTATTTCCTAAAGCGGTGCTACTCTATAATGTATGAATTAAACAAATATGTTTCTTATTCTTTTAAACTAAGACCATTGATTGAAAAGGATTTTAATGTATGTAACATAAAACAATAATGAATTTGTCAAATTTATATTGTATTTTGATAAATTTAATAACATAAACTTTCGCATTTATTATTGTTAATGCATTTAAATGCAGAGATACCTGCTTATCAGAAATATATGGGTAAGACAATTTGTCTATAACATTATTAACGTAGGTATGTAATTTAGTATTTAAAATGGTTTTGAATAGAATTAAGTTTAATACAGATTATAACGTAAGATTAAGATGAAAAATAAATAATTTTAATCTATGGCTGATTTATTTTATCCCTATTATGTAAACGCGTGTATTATTCCGTAAGTCAGGGTTGTCAAAAATGCTGCCCACGTATAATATTTGTGAGCCTGGTTACACGTATTAAATATTATCATGTCGCTATAAAAAGAGATTAATTCTAATCTATTATAGAGTTCAATTTTCAATAAAAATATCGGCTAGTTTTCCCTTTGAATATTTACAGTTCCATTACGTTTTTGTGACCCGTTCATATCATATATGTTATGACCCGTCAACTTCCAACAACTTTTTCCGATTGGCTCATTTTCAATTAAACAAATAGTACCTAATTAGATTCACTAAGAAACTATACGAAAGCTTTGCCGAAGACAGTTTAAATAAATTTACAATATTCAACTATTTCCTAAATAAATTTTGAGCATTTTGTTATTGCTTTTGTTTTTTGTTATTGCATATTACGAGAACCTGTTAATTGGTTCTAAGTGGATAATATATGATCAATACAAATTATAGTAATAAGAAAGACAATACACTAATTTCTTCACCAGCTTTATCTTCGTCTTCCATTCTGTGTACGGCTGACCTTTGTCCTCATTTAATAATTCTCCGTGCTAAGAGGGTTTGCGAAGCACAAAACGCAGGACCATACTACTGATTTTACGGTGACCACCGGTATAAATTAATTTATAGGTTACGCTAATGCTGTTACGCTAACGTACACATTAAGATGTCTACCAGCCCATCTTTGACATACGCTACGTCATACTTCGGTTCATCGGAGATAATAAAATACTTTGAAAGAGGAGACAGAGTTGCGAAATCGATATTGTAACGTTTTGAAGGACGGATTGCAAAATCGATATTAGTATTTAATTCAGAGTGGATCAGTGACTGAATTCGTTGCATTTCAAATTTTTTAACTAATATTCGTTGAATACAAAAATCGAATATTATTCTGTAATCAATAGAAGTTCTTCTTGATGCTGAATTTATTAAAATGTTTTAGTAAGAATTGGAAGTGTTTTTTTTAAATTAAATGTCTGGAAGAAGTCTCTATTATTATTATTTTTTTTCTCGCCACTTATATTGAGACACGAAGTTGGAGTTTCTATAGTATTGTATATAGCAATATTGCTGTTAAGATTAGAACCTACTTTGCTACCAAAATAAATAGAATAATGAAATCTATCACAACTATCAAGGTGTATTTGGCAGGGATACTTTGGAAAGGAGAAGGTATTTAAAAAGATAATACATAACTAGAAGTGACTTGTGCCAATAACCCCTGCTCCAAATTTACCTAGATGTCATCATGTCCCAAAAAAATGTAAACCCAAAATTACTTTCTTTTTTTTTATGGCTTAGATGGGTGGACGAGCTCACAGCCTACCTGGTGTTAAGTGGTTACTGGAGCCCATAGACATCTACAACGTAAATGCGCCACCCACCTTGAGATATAAGTTCTAAGATCTCAGTATAGTTACAACGGCTGCCCCGCCCTTCAAACCGAAACGCATTACTGCTTCACGGCAGAAATAGGCAGGGTGGTGTTACCTACCCGCGCGGACTCACAAAAGGTCCTACCACCAGTAAATTAGTAAATTACCAGTAGTAAATTAGTTTAGTAGTTATATTCTATTCCAATTACGAAGTCCCATTTGACAGATGTTATTATTACGTTATTATGTGTGTGAATTAATTGTATAATGATTTAGATTTATTGTGTATTTTTAAATGATAATTTACGACCATTAACAAAATATGGTTATTATTTCAAATTATGCGGAAAGTGAGGAGTTACGTTCTAAGAAGCGTCAAAAGGGACTTCGTCATTGGAATAGGGTATAGTTAGTGATGTGAGGTTTATTGGAAGAAGACGGAGGAGGCGGCGTGTGCGTTTGTTGTTTGTTGCGTGTTGACCTCCATAAACCTCATCGGAGCGGTCAATAAAACACTACGTATAATTACATGTTTATTCGCGTCTGCGACCGCGGTGGTGCGCTGCACGTTGACCACTAACTGACTCGTATGCTGCTCATTACTATATGCACGATAACTGCATAGTAAGCTAAGCGGGGCGGGGTATCATTCCCCTACAGTGATATTTAGCTTAGTAGTAAAATATATATTTTTTTATTTATTGTTATTTATATGCTATATATTATTTTTAAATGGAACAGCCAAATAAAAAGCCTAAACGGTTAATATTGTATTTTAATATTAAACGAAACAAAAATGAAATACGAAACACGCATATACAGTATTCATCTAAAAAAAATTACACCTAAATGACTAGTGGAAGACTAGGGTATTATTACAAATTAAAACTAAATTTGGAGTTTGCATCTTGTCACAAACAGCTTTAGGGATGTCCCCCCGAACTTGCCTTGAAATTGTTACATTGTTACAGCAAAACGTAAAAAAACTCACCAATCAACAATCAATCTTAGAATCTCGTCCAGTACAATGGTTATATTAAAATGACTATACATAAGGAACTAGGTAATTGAACTTTAAAATTATCCGTCTCTTAACAAAGCGAGATCTAACTATTGACCGATGTTATTCTTGCAACTTCACTGTTAGCCAAAAATTAAAATAAACATCAAATAAATCGATTATAAAAATAAAACACTTACAAAATTAAGTATCGCTATTAAAATAACTATTACGAAGAAAATTTAGATTCCCATCGAGGAGACGTTGTCTTCAGCCGCACCAGGTCACCTCGGAGTCGAACAGTCTTGGCGGATGTATGGCGGAATGGCCATGGTGAGGCTGCGGCGACCCGTGCAAGAGCTCACACATGAAGCTTATGTACGTAATCGCCAACCTTAAGGTCTCGATGCGAGAGAGACGTTTTTCGTATGCGAACGTCGGTACCTGAAGATTAGACAAGATTAAACCGCCTATTACTTAATAACCGATTAAAAATTCTCCTCTATGGTACCTATATTAGATTGGGAAATGAAAATCAGTGTGCTTAGTGCGAGTTTTTTAACTTCTCTATCTCTAACAAGGCATTAAAAATGCTGACTGCCTGACGCCAGTCACGTCCGCCCTCGTTCCATTTCTTATCTTTTATTTCTATCGAATCACCTGTCAAGTCTCTATCTTAGTCTATGTCTAGTCGTTGTAGGTCTAATGTCCTGTCAAAGAGGTTGCACGCCACGACAGGAGTCTGGTAGCGAGAACTCTCAAATGGAATATGATTAGGTAGTGTTTTTTTTTCTTTTTTTCCTACCTATGTTGATAGCCTTGAGAGGATATTTCGGCTTCACTCTAACGTGTAGGTGAGCTCACGGGGCTCAAATCGGAGTGTTGCTAACACCGGGCCTAGCAAGAGCAGTGCTTCGCAGAATCTACTACCAGATCGGAAACGCGACCCACTGAGAAGATCCGGCGAGAAACTCAGTGGGCTGTGCCTGTGGGTTTTTTTTTATTGCCCTTGTAGGCAGACGAGCATACGGCCCACCTGATGGTGAGTGGTTACCGTCGCCCATGGACTTCAGCAATGCCAGGGGCAGAGCCAAGCCGCTGCCCACCGCTTAATACTCTCCACAAGCCTCTTTTGCAGAAGGACATGTCATAGCGCTCGTTAATTCGCTCGAGGAGGGTGACCGGTGCTTGTGGTGCCTGAGTAGTGAAAGCACGTACCTTCCTACGCAGTTTGTCGAAGGCCTCGTTCAAGTTGAACATCCTGCGTCGCTCCCGTATGTTGGCGGCGCGGCGTTGCGCGACGGAGGCCACGCGCCGCCGCGGCTTCTTGTTGCTCGGCGTGGCGCGGGCGACGCTGCGCCCACAGCCGGCCGCCGACCAAACTAACATACGTTGATTACACAAAAGGTTTTTGAAGTGAAACTTCTTAAACGACTTCCAACAAGGTTGCGTAAAAAGTTTAACGCTACTGTGGAATAGAAAGAGACAGAGCGAGAGTGAGTTTGTGGAACTCGAACGCATGTGCGTAGTATACCTGTTACAGGCCAGCGCGAGCGTTAGCAAAGAGTAACGTCCAATATTTTAAAGAACTATATTATAAATCATTTATTTGTTTTTCTACCTATAGATAAGTTAAAATATATATAATATAAATGTTGAAGATGTCTGCATCTCTTATACACAGCATTCCCTATTACAAGAGCAATCTGATTTAAGAATGAAAAATGAGGAAAACCACAATACTACAAATCAAAAAAGAAGTTTCACTTCATTCACGTGCACCAAGTTGCATGCGTACGGTTTTTTTTTATTTTTCCCTACTTACTCGCTGGGCTATTCCAGATTCTCGTGGACGGGTATGCTTACAGGCTCCACCTGACAGAATAGGCTAACACTAGCCCTAGCAAGAACAGCGCTTCGCAAAATCTACCATCGGATCGGAATCGCGACCTACTGAGAAGATCCGACGAGAAACTCAATGGGCTATGTCTATGGAACAACAGCTATAAAAATCATTTTTTATAGAGATAATTCACTCAGCGCTCGTCAATGACCTCAATATTTGTTTCTACTTTTTTACTATGATTATTCCTGCTTTTAGCGACTACTGTAATGATAGCCCTAGGTATGAGAGTAAAAAACGTAGGTCAATGCGAGCGTGGCATCGTGAACAATGTCGCCTTCCTTGAATCTAAGCTTCAGTATCATTGCAATAGCTAATTCTTCTTGCTCTTATCGTTCGAGTCTACCATACGTCATCTCTGCACTAATAATCTTCTCTCGTATGTCTTTCACACAGTACATCCAAGACGTTTAAGGGGACCTCGCATCACCGTCTGCTTTCGTAACTAGGGCGTTTTAAAGACATTAACAAGTTAAGATTTACTGATGGTAGGACCTCTTGTTAGTCCACACGGGTAGGCACCACTTCCCCGCCTATTTCTGCCGTGAAGCAGTAATGTGTTTCGGTTTGAAGGGTGGCGCAGCCGTTGTATATACTGAGAACTTTGTCTTAAAGTGGGTGGCGGCATTTACGATGATGTCTATGGGCTCCAGTAACCACTTAACACCAGTTATAGTATACGAGTTCCAAAGTACCACGAACCACATACCCCGCTCAGAAATATCCGCTTAATTACAGAAATGTCCGATCCTTTGTCGTTTCTTCCATCGCTTGCCTGTCCGTGAGCTCTATTTTCCTAAAGCAATAAAAATCACACAGCTACGCTATAACAAATAATTTAATGGTCCAATTCTTACCGAGGTCGGCCGGTGGAAAAGCCAGGATATCGGGGTAAGGCACCGGAGCCGGCGGCGCGTCCCACAGGGGCCCGTATGGTGACACCTCACTGCCCTAAACGCAAAGAACCTTAATAACTTCTAGAATATTCACGAGAAACTGCCTACAAAGTAATATTCCGCGAGTCACTCACTATACAACTTTCAATTTTCAATTCAATTCAAATTATTTATTTGCCAAATACTTTTTTTTTATTGCTTAGATAGGTGGATGAGCTCACAGCCCACCTGGTGCTAAGTGGTTACTGGAGCCCATAGACATCTACAACGTAAATGCGCCACCCACCTTGAGATATAAGTTCTAAGGTCTCAAGTATAGTTACAACGGCTACCCCACCCTTCAAACCGAAACGCATTACTGCTTCACGGCAGAAATAAGCAGAACTGTGGTACCTACTCGTGCGGACTCACAAGAGATCCTACCACCAGTAATTACGCAAATTATAATTTTGCGGGTTTGGTTTTTATTACACGATGTTATTCCTTCACCGTGGAAATCAATTGTGAACATTTAGTAGCATTTCATTAGAAAAATTTGAACCCGCCTGTGAGATTCGAACACAGGTGCATTGCAAGATACGAATGTACCGGACGTCTTATCCTTTAGGCCAAGATGACTTCATTTTAGTCTTAAATTATTAAGTATGTATTTTTTTTTATTTCTCTTTTCCCATCCTAAATTTATCACTGCAGTGTGAGCAGTGGCTAGCGGTTTGCTGACTCGCCGTTTCAGCTGCTTGTTTTAGGGCTACCAAACCTATTTCATCTTTCCGTGTATTTTGTTTTCTTATACGTAGTGGTAAGCGCGGTGGGAAAGGATTTTTGCAAATTTAGCTTCAGAGGTGTGAAAACAATAGTAAATTGTAGTTGTACATATTTTTTTTGTACCTAAATGAAATAAGTCGTTTTATTGTTTTTTGAAACAACAAATTTAGAAAATTAAGTGGGGTTACACTATATTTTTTTAAGGAATTACTTCTGATGAAACACGTTAACAAACAGAACTAGGGAAATATCGTGTAGGTGAGCTTATTTCAAAGCCGGATCGCACGTGGCAATAAAGTTATCTGGAAACGCATTGTTAACGAAAACAGAGGTTCCAGACAGTAATGTTCATGATTGATTTCCACGGTGAAGGAATAACATCGTGTAATAAAAATGAAACCCGCAAAATTATAATTTGCGTAATTACTGGTGGTAGGACCTCTTGTGAGTCCGCGCGGGTGGGTACCACCACCCTGCCTATTTCTGCCGTGAAGCAGTAATGCGTTTCGGTTTGAAGGATGGGGGAGCCGTTGTAACTATACTTGAGACCTTAGAACTTATATCTCAAGGTGGGTGGCCCATTTACGTTGTGGATGTCTATGGGCTCCAGTAACCACTTAACACCAGGTGGGTTGTGAGCTGCCCACCCATCTAAGCAATAAAAAAAAAGACGAAATCTGCCCCGGTGGCGGGCGTTTTGATGGTAAAATGGAAATGACGTGATCATCTCAAAAAAATCCTCAGAGCCCTCCCCATGAAACATACGGGACAAAACACAAAGAGAACCGAAGTCCCTCCGTAGACCCAGATTGGCATGTCAATAACACTTACTCCCGAGCTGGACCACACGTGAGCCGTGTCGCTGCCGTATGACATCAGCGGGAAATGAATCTTGATACTTTAGCACACACCGCCAAACGAATACACCACTGCGTCAACAGTGGACGCGTGACCAGCACGAGAGGAACACTGCAATGAACTAAATCAAAACTGATATCTCTACCACAGCCGAATATCATAAGCACAGCGTTATTAAAGTTTTCGTTTAAGCAAAAATCGACCCAAATTCCAGGCGATACAGTACATAATGAAACGGTTTCATCTCGTGCCACCCCAACGGTGACCGGCAACATATTTCTCGATTCCGATTGGTTGTTATAAGGGTGAGTCGAAACATCCCTCGTCCCGATTGGCCGCAGCTGATGCGGTGGGCGGACTATGAAATCCTCGTTCGCAGGATTTCGAAATCATAACGTTATTACATTTTCACTACAGAACCTAACATTGTACGTGAATCGATTGGTCTGAAACGGCTTCCATAGAACTGGATGACTCTTGGTGATTTAAAACAACAAAACAGGCCTCATTCTTGTAATCTCGATTTGAATGAATAAAATATATAATTAATTATATTATATTTATTATAATTTACATTATCTTCACATCTTATTTTCCTAATTGAAATGGCTAGATCCAGTACGGGTCAAACCTCCATTCCTTGAGTCACCGCAGTCTTTTTTTATTGCTATTGAGTTTTCAGTCAATGGTAGCTGATTATCGGCCTGAGTTTCTCGCCTGATCTTCTCAGTGGGTCGCGTGTCCGATCCGGTGGTAGATTCTGCAAAGCACTGCTCTTGCTAGGGTCAGTGTTAGCATCACTCCGGTTTGAGCCCCGTGAGGTCACCTACTAGTTAAGATTACACTGAAATAGCCTCTTAAGGCTATCAACTTAGGTAGGAAAAAAAAAACAAAAAAAAAGATGGTCGGTACCTATGAACTCTTGCAAAGCTAAGAGCACAGTCAGGCTGCAGCGTATCAAATTACTCTTGATAGCTAATCATAGAGCGGACTTTATACATACTTACTTTCAAACCCTGATTTTTTTCTCTACTTATTTGCTGGTAGCCTATGAGTTTATTCCAAATTCGCGCGGACGGTTAGGTGAGCTCAAAAAAAAAAGCTCACGGGCTCAACTAGCCGTAACATCGGTCGGGTTGACGGGAAAATACCACACGGGCGCTCTCCTACCAGCTGATTAGATCTGGTAGACTCCCACTAGCTTTGCCAATAACCGAGGCTATAAAGACCGCCGAGGACAGGAAGGTGTATGGTGCATCAGACGACCAGCGCTTCAACCTACAGCAATGAAGAGACCGACTAAAGAGAGGAGAGCCGTGACCGTCATGACTTACACGAGTGTGGTGTTCGCTCACGCGGCTCGCTCACACATAGAGTGCCTCCAATCTCTACAATCCCGCTTTTGCAGGTTAGCCGTCGGGGCTACGTGGTTCGTGAGGAACGTCGACCTACACGACGACCTTTGAATCGATCCGCAAACACATAAAGTCAGTATCGGAACGTTACTTCAATAAGACTGCGACATGATAATCACCTTATCGTTGCCGCCGCTGACTTCTCCCCGAATCCTGATCATGCAGGAACAAGTAACTGTCGTCGCCCAAGACACGTGTTTACGGATCCATCAGATCCAATCAGTCTTGCATTAGACGCTTTCAGCTCTAACACTAGGAACAGGCTTAGGGACCCCGGTAACCGTACTCGTCGAACTCAACAAAAAGTTCGACGTGTACCTAACCTAACCCGTGCATCAGCCCGCTTAGTTTCTCGCCGGATCTTCTCAGCGGGTCGCGATTCCGATCTGGTAGTAGAATCATTCCCAAAACAACTGCTCTTGAGTTGTAAGGTCTCCTTCGGAGGCGCTCGGGCAGCTGTTAGCAAATCCTACTCCTCCTGGCTGAGCCTTTGCTCGCCCACCTAACCTGGTGAAGCTGAAAAGGCCTCCGGGCCACCAGTAATCTTTCAATCATAAAAAAAAGAAAAAAAAAGGAGCGCCTCCAAAGGAGACCTTACAACTCAAGAGCAGTTTTGGGAATGATTCTACTACCAGATCGGAATCGCGACCCGCTGAGAAGATCCAGCGAGAAACTCAGCGGGCTGATGCATGGGTTAGGTTGCACGTCGACCTCTTTGTCGAGTTCGACGAGTACGGTTACCGGGGTTCCTCAACCTGCTCCTAGTGTTAGAGCTGAAGGTATCTAATGCAAGAAAAACGATCCTGTGGACCGAATGGTCAACAGTCGACGTCGCCCTCTACACGTTATTACGGACCCTCCCGATCCATTAATGGTGCTTTTAGGTACCTCAAGCACCGGTCACCGCCCTTGCCGAGCCCGTCGCTTGCGGGCTCGACGAGTAATAAACTCCGATGTGACAAAAAGTTGACGTGGCGGCATTTATCACAAAATACAAAATTTCATCAGAAAGACAGTAAGCCGACTTCAACGAAACAAAATAGGAACATCATCAATGTAGTCGAAATCAATTATGAATAAAACAAACACTACTCACTGATCTGTGTGCTTAGTGCGAGTTTCTTAACGTTCTCGCTAGCGTAAAAGTTAAGCTAATTTTGTATGCATTTGGAACAGCTCTCCTAGCGGCAAACGTACGCAAACGATCCCATTCCATACAAATAGTATAAGCTAACTTTAACGCTATCGAGAACGTTAAAAAACTCGCACCAAGCCCACAGATCTTGATATTATTTTAATAAAAACATCAAAATCGGTACACCTAGAAAAAAGTACCGAGGTAACCGTACATAAAAAATACAGCCGAATTGAAAATCCACTTATTGGAAATCGATTCAAAATAGAACAAATCCGCTGAACCTGAGTCGCGCTAATGATATTTTCAAGATACTCTTACAGATTATTGTATATGAGTCGTCTATTATCAAAGGTGGCAATCTGTGCATTTGGACAAAAAAAATTTATTGATATTTCAATACAGATTGATTTGCATATAATCGTCTCCTTCAAAGAATACGGTTCAATGCAGGTTGCATTAAATAAAGGTTAATACTTAACCTGTTATTTATCTAAGATGTCGTTCAGAAGAGTTTTGTGACTGCCAATGGAATACAAAGTCAATAATTCGTTTTTCTGATTTACCAATAATTATCCACAAGTCACATTGCCGGCTTTGATACTAGTCGACTCATATTAAGTTACGAACGACATTTTGTCCGTCAGTTGCCGAACAACCACACCCGCTAAATGTAAAATAGGTACTTAACAATGTTCACGATTGACTTCCACGGTTAAGGAATAACTTTGCTTGGAATTATAATTTTCGTAATTACTGGTGGTAGGACGTCTTGTGGGTCCGCACGGATGAGGTCCTACCACCTGTAAGTTTTTTTGTTTTTTTATTTATTGCTTAGATGGGTGGACGAGCTCACAGCCCACCTGGTGTTAAGTTGTTACTGGAGCCCATAAACATCCACAACGTAAATGAGAGTCTATGAGACTTGGCCTTAAGACAGCTTGATATTTTTTTTAAATACAACTTTTCTTTGAAACATTTCAGACACACTTGTCCTAAACTCGACCGCGATAATCTGTTATTAATAATTGCATCAGCGCAGGCGTGACGGAGAGCAGATGGCTGATTCGTTCTCTATCCGCTAAATTGTGGATATTTGTCATTTTTGACGCGGATGGGGTAAAACTGACGAAATAATCGCATTAGACCGATTCACTAGTTTGGGGTGTTTTGGTTTGACGCTAATTAAACCTTCGTCCGCTGACAGCTGCGGACCTAGATTTTTGAATGCTTAATACAGTGATTCTCAACCTTTTTTTGTTGCGGCACATATTTAACGATTTCAAAATTTGGCGGCACACAAAAAAAAAGGTAAAATTTATTTACTTACTACAACACACTACACAAATAGTTTATCAAAAACTTTTAATATACGAAATAAACTAAAATATACTATAATTTTGTTTGTGGATTTAAATATATATTCATGTTTAAAATATTTTTCTTTTAAAATGATATAATTTAATAATATTAACATTATTATATATTCGCAAAATTTGGCGGCACACTTTTGAAATTTGGCGGCACACAAAAGTGCCGCGGAACAGTGGTTGAGAACCACTGGCTTAATATCTACTAGTGGTCCCCTAGTAGTCGAAATTCGACTTTAATTAATTGAAATTATAAGTTTGTACACTATTATGATTCTGTTGTCAAATAGAATACTTCAATAGTCACAGATTACGCCAAGACTACACTTTAGACAAATATAAAATTAAAGACAAACAATATTTAATCTATTGTTAATTTGATCACAGACTTAAACATTAAGAAAAGTTTGACAATAAACAAATATTATGCATGCGTGTGTGTGTCAAATACATGGTAGTGTGTGTAATGTTTTTTTTTATTGATTTAATGTATTTTTTATGCATAAATTAAGAAAATATTAACATTCTGCACTCCTTCTCTATATTCTCTATAAGCGTGAGAAATTTCATGCTCCTCCGTCTGCGCAATTTACGTAAAAAGGGATACAAAGTTTTTGCTTCACGTATTAATATGTATATAGATAAATAAAAACCAAGATGTCAGTCTATGTGATTTCAGCTTAAAAATTTATGTCATTAGCATCTGAAACTTTCGTCCGTCCGTTTGTTGGAGACAAACTCTCGAAACAAAAATCTGGAATCGATTTTGAATTTAGGCAATACATCAAATTTCGCTAGATTTAGATTATCTTCTACCTATTATTAAAGCTTTTTTGATTTAAAAAAAAAACAGGAGAACATTTATTAAGAAGTTTAGGATAGCTATGCATATATACTTTTCGGAATACAATTTTTTATGATTGAAGGATTACCGGTGGCCCGGAGGTCTTTCCAGTTTCCTGGTGAGGCGTTATTACACGTAGTTCTCCCTTATTCAAGAGAGAAGATCTCAAGTTAGAAGTTTGTCAACAGATACTGAAAAGCTTATGAGCTAGTATGCCTGTCCTGATTAACTGGAAGCAACTATCAAGGCTTCTATTGTCAAGTGCTTCGATCAATAACGAAGGTCAAGTGACAATATAGACGTGTGGTCTACTCATTTATAGTTAAAATATACTGCCTCTCCAATCATTCATTTGCCTTGCAATGAGAGCTGTTCCAATCTTCACACTGAAGCCTAAGAATATTTTGGAACCGATTGGCCCACAATTGACCAGATCAATCGAGCACTGCCATTACTGTGCTCTTGTTACGACTTAAGGATAGGAATCTATGTAGTTTGATAAGAACAAAAATCGAATATTGGGAATGGATGACGAGTTATTGGAAGTTACAGTAGACCGTATCCATTATTCGTATATTTACATTTAAACAATATAAATTGTGGATAATTTGGCCTGTAAATGTCACTATTCCTTCTAACATACTTAAAACATTGTAAGGCTTAAATAAAGTGAAACAGCTCCGTGTCAAATTATGAGATTTAGCAAAACATGTCAAATGAATTACACGGTCCAATAATGCGGAGAAAAAGGGGGACACGTTTATATTAATATAAAATGGAAGGCCCCACTCACACGTGTTGACTGCGAGGGTGAAAGTAAAATATGTTTTGATATGATAAATAATACAGACGAATTGGATTGACTAATTGTTTTGCGGCGCCTATGCAAATCTGGCTAATGTTTGCTACCTAAATGTCTCTAGTAGAACTAGGTAGGTACATACTTGCTTTATTTCGTAATAATTTAAAAAAGTTATTAAAAAAAATGTCTACAATACAAGCAACATTTTTTATTGCTTAGACGTATGAATGATTTCAAGACCCATCGGATATAAAGTGTACATACGCATTACTGGCATAGAAGCAGAAATAAACAGGATAGTGGTACCTACCGGTTCGACGTGCGAACTATGGAATAGGATCGTTTGCCTACGTTTGCCGCTACGGGCGCTGTTCCAACTGCATACAAAATTGGGTTAACTTTTACGCAATCGAGAACGTCAAAAAACTCGCATTAAGCACACTAGCCCATAGACAGTCCACTGAGTTTCTCGCCGGATCTTCTCAGTCGGTCGCGATACCGGTCTGGTAGTAGATTCAGCGAAGCACTGCTCTTGCTAGGACTACTGTTAGCAATCCTCTCAGGTTGATTCCGTGAGCTCCCCTACCTGTCCGCGTAACCTTGGAATAGCCCCTTAGCCTACCAACGATTAGGTAGGGAAGAAAAGAAAAAAAAATACCTACCCGTCATAAGGCGTTTTGCGAGTTTAATTTAGGTATGTTATACCATGTTCATTCTTCATCGTGGACTTGATTCGTGAACTTTTGTTAAGTTTGTGTTTCGTTAGAAAAATCGGTAGGTACCTGCCTACGGGGTTTGAACACCGGCACAGTCGCATGGCTTGATACGAAGGCAGCCTTTTTATCCTTTAGGCCACAAAGACTTCAAAACTATCAAACTTCACTTGATAGAGATATATTATATCTTCTTGTGAGTCCGCACGGGTAGATACCATCGCCCTACCTATTTCTGCCATGAAGTAGTAACAACGCGTTTCGGTTTGAAGGGTGAGGCAGCCGTTGTAACTACACTGAGACCTTAGAACTTATATCTCAAGGCGGGTGGCGCATTTACGTTGTAGATGTCTAAGGGCTCCAGTAACCACTTAACACCAGGTGGGCTATGAGCTCGTTCACCCATCTAAGCAATAGATAAAAAAATATAATAAATCTTGTATCTAGTTTAAAGTTATAGTTAGCTTAACAATCGATTAAGATACCTTAATTATCTTTGGCTAGGTCAATCTTCAAAATATTTCGTTAAATGCTATTGCTTTTAAATTATACGAGAAATAGATAAGTTAACTACGTAATACCGAATTATTATCAAGCTCGATGGGCGCACGAGCGAAAAATCGCATTTTCAACGCTAACAAACTAATATGTTTTTAATTAAACGAGACCGAAGATAATGGGCGCAGTTTAGACGGCCATCTGTACAATTGGGGTGTCATTGAAAGGAACTGGGGCTGTTACTGTTTAGTTTATTGAAAACAATATAATGTGTACCATAATATATCTGTGAGTCAGTCGGTGAGTAGCTGGAATAACCCGCTTTTACCGGCGATTAAATAGGAAAAAAAACTGTGATTCAATCTGTCTTATGATTGTGATTAGGTAGGAATGCGTTTCGGTTTGAAGAGTGGGGCAGCCGTTGTAACTATACTTGAGACCTTAGAATTTATATCTCAAGGTGGGTGGCGCATTTACACCGTAGATGTTTATGGGCTTCAGTAACCAATTAACACCAGGTGGGCTGTGAGCTCGTCCAACCAACTCATAATAAATCACTAAATATAAATAAATTAATTGGTGTATTCTGAGCCGATAGCTAATTTGTAGTGGCCGGCTGGCCGCTTTAGTAGAATGAGATACATTACGTGACATCGAGCACATAATGACTGTAATATAAAACGCATGAAAAAAGAATTTATAGCGTCATTAATATCTAAGACAACCCATTTTACTTACCAACCAAGTTCTAAAGTATAAATTAGGTATCTATAAAAATGTACATGAAAAATATTTAACCTTCTATTTTATTCAACTACGTTTCGTTTTACACATAATTTAAAGAGACTTCTGTTTAAATTATTTGAAAAAATTTTAAGCTCAGCACTGGCAATCATATCATGGTAAGAAACCGATTGCTATAACGAAAAAAAAAAGAAAAAGACAACACGTGCTTGTATTTTGACATATTTTTATTTTGAAACGTAAGTTCTCAAATATATTAAGTGTATATATTAAGTGTATAATCTATGGTATAATCTATGAACGTAAGTGTATCCCGTCGCGGCTTTGTTGGAAAATACTGAATTATAATAAAATACAATGGGAAAAAACAAGAAAAAAGGGTCAAAGACTAATGTTTTCAAGGTGGCGGGGGCTAAGAGTTTGAAAAAAACTAAAGCCAAAGCAGTGAATTTAGGTCTTAAAAATGTAAGTAATTATTACCTAAGACTTTCATGTTGACATAAAATAAAATTAACCCAAACCATCCATACATGTACCTACTACGCACATACCTAAACAAAAACTATAAATAAAATCTTTAGCAAAAAATAAGCCTAGGCTTTAAAGAGACAAAATTTGACTAATTATCTAACCAACCTGAGGGAAAAAAATCATAATAAAACTTCCTTTTACAGATCAAGCAAAAAGTAGCTGAAATCGACAAAGAATTTGTAAATATTAATAAGAAACCTAAAGGAAATACGAAAAATAAGAAAAATCTTGAAGCACCAAAGAAGCCACCAGTAAAAAAGAAACAGCCAGTATCAAAAGAGGAACTCAATAAAACGACTGAAGAAATTGAAAAAATGGATCTATAGATAGCGTTAAGTTGGTAATTAATAAAACAACAATGCAAAATATACTTAATTTTTATTGGTTGAGTTCAGTTTCTGTATCAAAAATGAATTTAGAAATCAATTGCTTCATATTTATAAGCTTTACAATTATTAGATACATACTGTTATGTTAAAATAGACATTGAGAAAAGAGCCATTACTGTCATACCTGTATATATGTATAAATTAAGGAACATTGAAATGATTCCTAAATATAAACTTGAGTTTCGTGAACTTACTAAAACAAGTATTTATCTCTCCAGGCGTAAACTCTTAAATTTTTGGCTCGCACCTAGCTATATAGGGTGTAAAACTGTTCCATTTTTTGCGTACCGATTGCTAGTAACCTTATGGTGCTATGTTAGCTTCACTTAATGTGAAGACTAATGTGGCTCAGTCTTGGAGACATGTCTTTGTATTAACATGAACAATGCTTTCCTAAATCTTCCAATGAATCAGAATCACAGCCTGCTGAGAGGATCTGGCGAGAAACTTGGTGGGCTATCTGTTCCACCTTTTGTCTTAGGTTTTTATGCATGGTGCATCTAGATTAGGTTATTTAAATAGACATATCTGTTATTGGTACAGTGCACATTAAATTGCTGGACAGCATACCATCTTATTGCACTTTTTTTTTAATGGCCTTGTAGGCATACAGCCCACCTGACAGTGAGTGGTTACCGTCGCCCATGGACTTCAACAATGCCAGGGGCAGCTCTAAGCTGCTGCCTATTGTTAAGTTCTCTCCAGACGCCTCTTTTGAAGAAGGACATGTCATAGGGCTCGAGAAATACTGTAGAGGGGAGCTCGTTTCAAAGCCGGTTGGTATATGGCAAAAAAGATCTTTGGAAACGCACTGTGGATGAACGCAAAGGCTGCAGGTAGTATGGGTGAACTCCACTCTGGTGGCGGGCAGTGCCATGACTATTTGCCATTACCAAATTATAAAATGCACATTAGCCCACCGAGTTTCTTGCTGGATCTTCTGAGTGGGGCATGATTCTGATCTGGTAATAGATTCAGCAAAGCGCCCCTCATACAAGGGCTGATGTTCGCAAATTCTCTCAGGTTGTTCCTGTGAGCTCACCTACCCATCCGGGCGTAACTAGGATAGCCTCTTAGGCTACCAAAGAATAGGTAGAGAAAAAAGGACAATGTACATTAAGCCTTGGGTCATTAATGTATGTGCTCTGGGTCGTGATGCTGCTTAATTTTTTTATTCCCAGCTCCAAGACTATCTCAGTTCTGAAGATGAGTATCAAAATCATACAGTTTATGAGCTCAGGGATACAATAAAAATGTCTCTATGTCCATAATTTTACTTGAAATGTTCCTATTATGAAAAAAATTAAAAATGAAATCGAACATTTTTATATATGTCTTTTATTGTTAAAAAAGAATCAATAAACTATAACATTACATAACAGTTTTTTTTTATATATAAGTTAACATGGTTATTTAAAAACTCAAAACCATAACTAGTAACATATCTTTCATTCACACATAATTTGATTATGCATGTGAAAGCTGTAAAAGTGGATACTATCATGCTCTGATATTGTTCATGATAACACAGTGAATCCAACATGAACAATACTAAGCATATAAAATTTATAAAAAAAAAGAATTACCTATATCAAATCTGTATTTAAACTTCAGTTTATGAACTAGTCGTTAGACTGGCATACAATTACCAGATTTGTTGAAATGCAATTACATATTCAATGTTTAGTTTTGTTAAAATAAAAACATTTTTTTTTTAATTAACCTTAAACGTTAAATTTTTTGCTATTCAAAAAAAAAAAAAATTATAATGAATTAGATCTCGATTTTTTCTTCTAAATTAATCGGTTATTCTTCGTCGGTAAGATCAGGTTCTGCTCTTTCATCTTCGCTGGCATCAGCTTGTTCCAACTCAGCTTCTGTTGTCTCTGCTGGCGCATCAGGGACTACCTGGGGTGATTCTGGCTCTTCTATGATAGGTTCTGGTTCCTCGGCACTGCAATCAGAATTATATTTAATCAAACTGCTACACATTAGCGTGACGGCTTATATATTCTTACACAACACATAAGTAAAGACGTCTGCCGGCTTAAAAAATAGATGTCACTTAATTTAAACCTACAAGTGCTTGAAGAAATGAAAAATAATATTATCTTTTGCTGAATATGTAAATTATTATTCCCTCTCTTGTAGTGTTTGATTCTTTATTAAACCTCTAAAACGTTCCGCCATGATAGAAACGACTTTATTAATACCATTAAGTAAGTGATTATGATTAATACCTAGACTCTGGAACATCTGTAGCGGAACCACTCTGCGACAGCTCTTCCAAACGCGCGGCTGCTAACTCTGATTCTTGCCTTGCGATCTCGGCTAATTCAGCAGCCTGTTAACGAAATAAAGTTATAACCCGACAATTTTGAAGTTTTTTAAACAATATTATGATTGTTGAGAACCTGCCACAGAACCAAACTTATCAAAAACATTCAATTTTGACATTAATTCAAACTAAGCCGCTGAAAGATTTTTATCAAAGGAACAGCGACAATTTTTTGTATAGTGGTTACTACAACCCGTGGACCCAAATAGAGACAAGAGGACGTTTCAATTATATTGTATAACGACTTCCCACCATTCAAGCTGTAACATAGTCGGGAGTCGGGACATGTCAATGCCTAGTTACCCGAAAATATTAATTCCTACACCACATACCGTATTACAAAACCACAATAAATGAAGTCTTCAATGTGATAAAGACTATCATACCTAGTAAAATATTTCTGTATATGTCTTATCTAGCCTTTCCACAGAACCGCCCTCATACCACTTAATTACAATAAATTTATTCAAGTCCTATTTACCGTCGGTGTGGCGGGTCGAAGCCTTGCATGTAAGAAAACAAATACCCTTCTCTGGACTAATGAATAAGTGGAGTCGTAGTTCGGGGTAACCAGAACTATATGGTATAATTTCTGGTATTTCAAAATTTTACTATGTAAGTTTCAAATTGTTTAAAATATCGATTTAAAAGATATTGACATACCTGTCGTGCAAGTTCTGCTTCGCGTTCTTCCTGTGCCTGTTTTTCTAGTTCCTCTAATTTCGCAAGCTCTTCTTGTCTAATTTGTTCAGCCAGCCTCTCCTCTTCTAATCTCGCTTCCTCTGCCATTCTAGCTTCTGCTAGCCTAGCCTCTTCTGCTAATTTCGCTTCTTCAGCTAATCTGGCTTCTTCTGCTAATCTCGCTTCTTCGGCAAGCCTTTCTTCTTCTGCCAACTTTGCCTCTTCAGCCAATCTAATCTCTTCCGCTATACGTTCCTCCTCTGCTAATCTAGCTTCTTCAGCTAGCCTTTCTTCTTCGGCCTTTCTGGCTTCTTCAGCTAATTTCGCCTCTTCGGCCAGACGAGCCTCTTCAGCTAACCGAGCTTCTTCAGCCTTACGGGCTTCTTCTTCAGCCTTACGTTTGGCCTCGTCCGCTTTTCTAGCTTCTTCCTCTGCTTTCTTTTTTTCAGCGGCTTCTCGCTCGGCCTATGGACATACCAGCATTTTAGTTTTACCTCTGATAATTTTATTATTATGTTCGTATTTTCTTTTCTTTTTGTTTGGTTACCTGAGCTTTTCGTTCAGCCTCGCGTTTCGCCTCTTCCTTTAAAGCCCTATAGCAATAAAAACAGGTTACTATTTTAATAACTTAGCAGTAACTTACAACTATTTATCGAACAAGAGATAAGTATTACACGAAGGAGAATGATCCAAGGAAGGGGAACGGTAACTTATAATAATAGAAGAACACCAACCTATCGCGAATCCCTATTAAGAGTGTCGCAAGTCCGCTTTTGATTTTATCTCATAAGTTTTTATTTATTTTTGCCAAAGCTGTTTGTAGAATACCATTTTACAGGAATTTATCGTGTGCATGATTTTGTCAACGCCCGTGACCTTTGCTTCCTATTTATTGAAGGGCCAAGATTAATTTATGATTGACGTTAAATTAAAACTCACTTTTCTTCGGCAGCTCTGGCTTCCTGCTGCCTTTTTTTCTTGATTTCAGCTAAATCTGCAGTGGGAGCCAAAACCGGTTCGGCCGTGGAGGCTCGGAATCTGGCCTCGCGTTCCGCTTTGGCTGCCTTCAGCTCTCGTGAAGGATCTTCCATCATTTGAGGCGCCTGAAATTTGCGGCTCGGCCTCCAAGGTAGCAGTTTAACTGCACCAGGGCCAATGTTATTTTTATTCTAAACAAAAGGATGACCATTGGTGTTATGTTAATAACATTTCACGTCTTGCTTAATGACAATGGTCATCGGTGGTCGAGTTTGATGGAGACAGCAAGCAACACAGCCCATTGCAGCTGACAATCGACACGTTCATCATTGAAAGCTGTTAGATTAGATGGATCCCAGTACAAGCTCAGTGGCGAAGCCGGTGCGACATTTCTGTTCTATCCAGTCGAGTGCTGCTTGCTACATGCTGTGATATAAATGATGCGATAACTTCCAATGTAACCGAGTTATCTTTGGAGCGTTTGAGGTTCGAAAAATGCTTAGCGGTCAATGTGAGCTCCCACCGCTTGAGAAACTTAACTAAACTTACAAATGACATATAATTATTTTATATAGTGATTTAATTCGTTTATTTATGTGGGTTATTACGATTATGTTAATACAGATTTTAGTCAAGAAGCAAAGCGTTATCTGAAGCTCTCGTACTAGAAGCGTGACAATAGGAACGTTAATCGACCAAACTAAAACAACTACAATATTTCAATAAAAACTCTTTATTATTTTTAAAAAATCAGTCGAGTTGAGCGCTCGAGTATTCTCGAACGCGAACAAAACTTTAACGCGGTATTTAAAAAAAAAAAAACAACCGCGCGCAAAAATGACTAGGAAAATAAATAAAGTTTCGTACTCGTAATAAAAAATTTGTAACAAAAATAGATAGATATGTTTAAAAAATATAGATGATGTCGGTTAGTCGTGGTGCGTTATACCGAGATCAGAGATAGGACGGGGCCAGAGCTACGCGCACTGCGCCGCCGCCGGCTGTTTCAGCGCGTCGCCCGCTGCAAGAGACACCACACGCAGGGTTAGACACAGACTTTATGCTTTAATCATCATAAATTTTAGGAGCCTCAACGCCGGTGGCGATCGACCTTTATTTATGTACTTCTTTTAAATAAGTTAAGCGAAGGAAGCAGTTCTAGCATCGCGATAGTCTTGAGATACCTGTTGCATTCTCGACGGCCAGACCGGCGGCCGCGAGCCTGTTCTTCGCGTAGAACGAGAGCAGGTTCACGTCATCCCTGATGCTGAGCTCCTTGTAAAGTGGCCTACGGTTGGAGAAGGCCTTCTTACCGGAGTAGTGCACGCACGCGAGGTTGCCGCGTCCTGGCGACAACGACGCGGTTATCACGGGGGTCACACTAGAATTAGACTATTAGTAGGCGCCTAAAAGGTACGAACATGTAAGGTGGAAGGGAGATACATTAAAACAACTACCGAATAATTAGTTTCGTCAGTATTACTCTTGTTATGCTTCGTATCTACGACTCACCAGTGAACTTCTTGGCTGGCTCGTGATAGAAGGAAAGATTGTGGATGCTATCCGCGACGCTGCGTAGGGGCACCAAAAGCTTAGCAATGTAAGCGTCATTGCTGAAACGGTACGGGATCGGCTCGCCGTATGAATATCTGTAGGTATAATATCGGACGTGATAAACGAAACAGTGCTTCTCAAATGTACAGTCGCAATTTTAATGAAAATAAACATTTCGCTGCTAGGCGAACAACGGTTGTTGGCATTTAACGTTCTAAATTTAAATCAGCGGTCTGTAACGTGAATCATACGTCACAGTAAATAAATTAAAATGTAGTTTGGCTGTGAAAATATTCAACGACATTTATAACCGCAACTATGTGCACATATAATAATTACTGTGTAGATTCTGGATTTTCTATGCTCATTAACAGAGTTTTTGGGTGGACACAATGTATGCCAAATAATTAACCTTCGCGCACATTGTCGACAATGTCAGTGCCAGGGCGGTCGTTTGATAGACGCATCAATAGTCTATTTTAGTATTGTTACATCAGGCCGGGAAAAACTTGACCTGGCACCAGGAGTAATGCAAGGTTTTGTTATTCGACCCTGAGATCAAGGGCCGGGCAGTCATATTCTCGAATTACAAATACAAATCTCATGGTTATTCTTAAAATAAATTTAGCAACACACGAACGCGTAAACATATTAACGTTATACTGTTTTATCTGAATTTACGCCAATTATTTGTCGGCACGTCGGCTAACTGCGTATTTGATATTATTGCATTTTTATGTGCCCTTTATGACATGTAGGTACATACCTATATCTTTCTTATATAATATGAGAATGTTTCGTAAATTTTGTACATATTACAAGTAAACAAAATAATCGTTTTTGAAAAAGTATCAAATCTATTTTAAACTCCTTGAAGATACGATTGTACTATTTAGTTCTTGTCTCATTTGTTGTCCGCTATTGAGGTGCCCTGTTGGAACCCACCCGCAGCTGGTAGTAGCTGAGTCCAGTGTCAAGTTTCATTCCATTCTGAAACTCATCCAGCTAAAGCTATGCGGCCATAAGTCTCGGCTTTTGATATAAACAAACTTTCTTCGGACTACGTACGTCGGTGACTAGCATTTTTAAGGATCATATCCGTCCCGATTTGATCATGATAGAACTGAAATAGCTATTCAGTGGCATGGAAGTTGTTAAATAAGACGCACAATAACAAACTAAGTTCGAATTTGCATATTTTCGCTGGTAGTGACTCATTTGGGAGGTTAACGCGTTGGGAAGATCTTCCAAATATTCAAATATTGCTTTTTCTGAATTTGTATATAATAAAAATAATAATAATATGCAAATTTATCTTGTAAATGTCGTAAGCGAGATTTAGGCATGCAACAAATATCTTGTGTTCTATGATAGCTACCGCCACAAAGATATTGCTTATAGGTTACATCTGTATTTGGGTAAGGGCACAGAAAAGACTTTTCTATGTTCCCCGCACGCTGTCTAGCCAACTCAAATTGATATTCATGTCTCGAAATCGGAATACTTATTTTCCTTTTTTTCCCTACCTTTTATTCACTGGTAGCCTAAGGGGCTATTCCAGCTATGCCCGGACGGGTAGGTGAGCTCACGGGCTCGACCTGAGAGAATTTGCTAACACTAGCCCTAACAAGAGTCGTGTTATGCTGAATGTATCACCGGCTCGGAAACGGGACCCACTGAGAAGATCCGGCGAGAAACTCAGTGGAATGTATGCCTGTAGGAAGTACTTTGAGTATGAAATATACTTAATATAATGTGATAAAGCATTTGAGATTGATTCGTACTCTGCTTTAGTAATCAGACCAACACGATAGAACATTCTGGGCAGTATTTAATAGTTTTTTTTTTCACTGTTTTCCTATTTTACTAGATCTATAGCTTATTTTGGCATTAAGCCACTCGAAACTGTTATAATTGGAGATCAATATATAATTACGATTATTGTCTACGCCTAAACGTTAGTGTTTATTTTCTAAAATAAAATATTGTATCCGTCAACTAACGTGTTTTATACTTAGTCTGGCCATAAATACTGTTACAATTAAAAATAAACAAAATATTACATTTGAATTTGGAATCTATCATTTTGATATGATTGCTCATTGAGTTTTCTCATTTTGGCGCCAATACATTGTACAATATTTTGCGATATTAAAATCGCTGTGATTGCATTACACAAAGTAGGTATGGAGCCAAATGCAATTTTAAAAACTCTCCATACGCTTGGTATTAATAAAAGGTTTGTGTACCAGGCTATTAATAGGTGCAATGAGACCTCCTCGGTTTGTGACAGAAAAAGATCTGGCCGTCCACGTAGTGTTCGTACGAAAAAGGTGGTCAAAGCAGTAAGGGAAAGAATTCGAAGAAATCCTGTCCGAAAGCAAAAGATTTTATCTCGGGAGATGAAGATAGCACCTAGAACCGTGTCGCGTATTTTAAAAGATGACTTAGGACTTGCAGTCTATAAGAGACGTACTAGTCATTTCTTAACTGATAATTTAAAAGAAAATAGGGTGGTAAAATCGAAACAACTACTGAAGCGGTACGCAAAGGGAGGTCATAGAAAAATGTTGTTTACGGATGAGATTTTTTTTACAATTGAGCAACATTTTACCAAACAAAATTACAGTATTTATGCTCAAAGCTCTAAGAAAGCTTCCCAATTAGTCGACAGAGTGCAACGTGGGCACTATCCGACTTCAGTGATGGTTTGGTGGGGTATTAGCTATGAAGGAATGGCTGAACCATACTTTTGTGAAAAAGGTATCAAAACATCGGCACAAGCGTATCAAGATACTATTCTTGAGGAAGTAGTGAAGCCCCTTAACAACACCATGTTCAATAATCAAGAATGGTCCTTCCACCAAGACTGGGCGCCAGATCATAAAGCTCGGTCTACGCAGTCTTGGTTGGAAACGAACGTTTCGGACTTCATCAGAGCTGAAGACTGGCCGTCGTCTAGTCCCGATCTTAATCCACTGGATTATGATTTATGGTCTGTTTTAGAGAGTACGGCTTGCTTTAAACGCCACGATAATTTGGAGTCCCTAAAACAATCCGTACGATTGGCAGTGAACATTTTTCCCATGGAAAGAGTGCGTGCTTCTATTGATAACTGGCCTCAACGTTTAAAATACTGTATTGCAGCCAATGGAGACCACTTTGAATAAGCTTTTTATACTTTAAATTGTTTTATATTTATGTATTAAACTAACACACTGTAAAAGTAATAAATGTTATTTGCAATAGATTTTTTTTTGTTTTCCTTTGTAACAGTATTTATGGCCAGACTAAGTATAATGTCTTTGCGTATTTATTTATGAATAACAAGTCAATTGCTAAGGTAAAGGTTTTAAGGCACGGATAGGTATCACTGCCCTGCCTATTTCTGCCGTGAAGCAGTAATGCGTTTCGGTTCGCAATGTGGTTCAGCCGCTAGTATTGTTACAACTGAGACCTTAGAACTCTTGTCTCAAGATGAGTGGCGGTGTGGCGGGTAGCCATCATACAACGCAAGATAATTGACAGATGCCTGAATCTCGCTTACGACATTTTCAAGATAAAGCGCATATATATACAAGTTCCGAACAACAACATTTGGACCGTCGGTCTACCGAGCAAATATCACCCGCTCGGTGGAAGATCTTCCCTTTGTCGTATATTCCTACAGCGGAATTTACGATATAGTTGTCTATGGGCTCCGGTAACGACCAGGTGTCTCAGCTCAGCTTGTTCAAACATCTAAGCAATATAAGATAACGTCGCTGTCAAACCAAAATCTGCTATGTGCAAAAACTCTATTTTGAATTATTGAGTAAAAACATTTTCGTATAAATTTTTATATGAAGGTGAATCTTTAAGAACTATATCAAATGAAAGCTATAGATAAATATTAAAGCTATAGACACATAACGGTTTTTTTTATACCGTAGATAGGGCTGTGAACTATACGAAAAGGTCGACAGCAGATTTTGCTTTGACAACGACAATAGATAAAAAGAGCTTACGAGTAGATGGTGTCGAGTGGTGCTAAGGACTTGGCGCGCGGCACCACAGAGCGAGCCCGGTGGATCAAAGCTGCAGTGTCGGCGCGAATTCGACGGGTCTCATCTTCGAAAGTCTGTGAAATATCCCCCCCATTAATATTTCCTATTACTGCCTACGTACCAACCTATCACACAAACACGTTAACGAAAACGGTACCTTTTTATATATTAAAATAAAAATTGGAACTGAAAAAAAATCACGCACGATCATCCGGCCCCAAATTAGGATTGTCAAAGACTTATATACGTTTATATATCGACGATTGAAAGGCAAAGGTGACTAAGCGACAATAACTGCTTTGTACATAAATGATAGGCAATAACCATTTTCGATGTGCAAAAAAATTTTTTTTCTAGGTCTATTAAAATCATTTCAATCCTACAGCTACTAGCTAGATTCTACTACAGTTGGATTCGTTAAAATAAATTTTGTTTTCAGGTATTTCAACTTTAAATTAGTCTACTGTAAAGTTCACGCATTGTCGCTTAGTCACGTTTGCCTTTCAAGCGTCGATATATATACATTAATATAGTTAATAAACAACCAGGCAAATAGCAAACAAACCTGTTTAACACACGTATGTTTGACCTATTTGGTGAGCAAATAATATTATAGTATAATGAATTAAATTACGATAGTATCTTTGGATGCGTATATGCATTTTGTGGCGAGGCTTGAGGGAAGCCTATTTCTAGTTGTAGACGTCTGTGGGCTGATAGAATAGAATAGTGCCTTTTATGTCATTACCTCTAAGATTCAACAGAATCTTTATAGAAATTACAGCAATCCGTGTGAATATAACAAACTAGATTGTTCTAAAAATGTTGTCTTAAGCTTTCTATTTTTAGTCGCATACTTCATTGCTGAAGTCGTGTCCCTGAAAGGCCTTCGTGGCTCTTTGTAACCATCAGCTTCCATTTCGTTTGGTTTTCGGCTTCTCTCTCTTAAGCTTAGGTAAGTAAGGCTTAGACTTAGGTTTAGGTTTAGTTATTAGCAAGGTTTAAACTGGCTATTGAATCCTTTTACCTTGGTTGCTTCGGAGCGCAAGAAGTCATCGACGGCAGAGATGGCCAGTGCTGGACGGCGTCGGTAAGCGATTCGGTCCAGCTCACGGAGGACCACGGATGGGCGGACCCTGACCCTCACCACGTGATGCGGCACATCAGGGTACGTAACGAGTCGAGTTACCGACCGAGATGTCGGACGGTAAATCAGTTCAGCCTGGAATGTTATTTGGGTAGTTGAAATGAATGTTCGAATGATCGAGGATGAGCGATGATGAAAACCTTTTTGTAGGATTTAACATCGCATTTATCTAAGTCAGGGATTCAGAACCATGCTGCCGCCACATTTTACTTTAAAAATTATATTCCTACTATTTATAATCATACAATGTACCCCCAATAGGTAAGCAACTTTTAAACTAATATGTTTTCTTTTCTACCGTCAAGTTTTGGAATCGCTAAAAATGTGCCGTGGAAAAAAGGTTGAGAATCACTGATCTAAGTCTATTAGATGGTACGCAATATGGATGTTGCAAATCTAGTCTATTCTATTGAATTACCGTTTATAATTCAAATCATAAATGTATAAGGGTGTTTTTTTTATGTCTAAAGTTGATTTAGAAGGTTATTAAGAATTTCAGATAGTTTGGAACTTCTCATTCGGCAACATCCCTATTCTGTGACGGAACTTAAAGTGGGGTAAGTGTCAATCAGATGCTGTATTCAAATTACGATTTAGTCATACATAATGCAGAAACCTCTAATGTAATTAATAAATAAAATGTATTTAGGCTTTTGAGGTGTATCTACATAGGTGATGGTTGTGTGGTGACGACCATGATGAAATATGATCGAAAAAAAAAAACAATGTGCTTTCAACTAAAAGTCAATATTTCTCATTCTACCCTATTTAAATGTAAATACAGGATAACATACACAATTACTTACCTCTACTTACTTGAAAAGCATGCAATACGATGTTATAACATGGAATGCATTTTTTTTTGTTTTTTAATATTTATCATGATCAATTTCATGAAAAGCAGTGAGAGTTTATTTACATCGTCGGGAGTGAAGTTTTCGTGCCAAAAACGTGATATTTTATGGGTGAACCGAGAAACAAACAAGGTCGTTCATGTAACGAATAATTATCTTTCTAAAATAATTTTGTTACGTTTGTAACATGCGGAGTTCTCTATGTAGTTATTGTAGAAATGTAAAATGATTAGTGGATTGCTCATGTGGTACCAGAGTCGTAACGTCACACCGTAACTAGAATATCGCCGTTAACCTTGAAACAATTGATACCGAAAATATAGACCGATTTAAGAAATCGATTTTATTCCCCTACTTATTTGCTGGTAGCCTAAGGGCTATTTCAACTTTGCGCGGACTGGTAGGAGGTGAGCTCACGGGCTCAACCTGAGAGAATTTGCTAACACTAGCCCTAGCAAGAGCAGTGCTTCGCAAAATCTACCACTGGATCTACCACTGGATGAAACCCACTGTGAAAGAAGATCGTGCGAGAAACTCAGTGGGCTGTGTCTGTGTGATTTTATTATAATCTCGCAATTACTTTTTAAAAATGATTTAAAAATTTGGGATGTGATGTCATCGTCAGCGGCATAAATAAAATTTACTGTTCAAATCATGCTTTGGATTGAAATTAGAATTGCTTTGAGATTTTCAATAGCATCACAACAAAACTGATATTTGAGCCGTACACAGAGTATACAAAAAATATAGGCAGAAATATCTGTTTGAATAAAGCCATTGATGACGTGATTTAAAAACAAACAAAGGTCAACCTTATTTGCTTAAAAAATTGGTAATTAAAGATTATTTTTCATAAAAAAATACTTTTCTGTTGTAATCGGTTAGCCTATTAAAAATGGCTTTTCAATCAAAGTAAAATTTTAAAAAAACATCGGGGCCCATAACAATGGAATAGGTTCTTGTAACAGTAACAAAACAATTATATTCTGCTTACAACACTAACAAATTTAAAACTCTCTGTATTATTCAGTTATGGTAAACATAACTAATTATATTGAAGAGATAAGAACAAGAAAGTGATCGTGTAACGAACATAATTTGAATATTAATGTTTGTATTGAGAATTTCCTATCTTGTATAATACAATTTCTTTTACCAAATTCGGGAAAACCACACTAGATATCTTATGCACGCTATAAAAATAGAATCTTCAGCTAGAATAGAATCTTAACGCTTTTCTTACATTTACGTAAATTGAATAAGATGATTGCAATGCAAGATGCCAAATCATAGGGCTATTTTAGAAAGGAGTGAGATCCGTCTCAATGGCGGAGTGAATCATACGAACTAAGTTATATTTAGCGCGGTTCGTATACTAGCAAGACTCCACTGGAAATGTTATATGTACTACGTACTAACGATGGAAAATTCTTGAACCAATCTGAAGGTTGCTTACGACTCATGCGATTAATGACATGTACACATTATCACTATCGCTAGTTCATACGCAAATATCTGAAAACGATAATGGAATCTTTGGTATTGATCAAAACCACGGCTAAACTTGTTTGTAAAATTTGGAGTATTTAAAATGTCGGAAATAAACCTGTAAATAATAGGTACGGTCATAGTATTTTTAATTTAACTAATGTTCGCCCGGTTTTTTTGAATTTTACTATAATGACAGTCTTAATTTCATTTTATGTACCTATTAGGTATGTCATGTACCTACCTTATTCTCTTTTTATTTTGTTTTAGCAGCTATTATAGAATTTTAATGTTTCAATATTTTTTGTATTTTTTTTAAATCAATAATGAATCTTAAGATAAAATAATACATGGAAAGAAACCCTAATCAGTGATTATTAACAAACGATCGTTGGGCGAGAACTGTTTTATTTAGGCGCGAACCGTGATTTTTCGTAATAATTATTTCAAATGGCAATTAACACGTAACGACGAACTAAATACATAAGTACCTACTATGATTTTAATAAAAAGCGTTTCAAGGCTGTGCGTAATATTTTTATTATTAGGCTTCTTGATATCAATAAGTGGACAGACCTTAGTAGTTCATGAAACTTAATCTGTACTAACAGATTCAGACAAGTGAGTTTTGAATATAACTATACTATAAATGTCGGTAAGAAAATTTTGTGCCAAATTCATCATATATTCAAACATGTATTATATTAAAAATAACAATTACTTAATGGGAGAGGCGAACGGGTGTGAATGAGGGCTTGGCAACGTTGCCAAAAGAAATACCCATGTTTTTTTTTCAACAGTGTCTCGACGTATCCGGTTTATGTCGAATTCGTAAAAAAAGTCATTTTGTAAGTACTCAAAAGAACTTGGAAAAGATCAGAAGCGTTCCCTGCGGTAATGTTTCTGTAATAGGTACATATATTTAAATTACTGCGTTAATACAACATTTTCAAGTCTCACAATCAGTCAATCTTTATTGACTATTGCAATAGCATATTCCTTGGAAAGCATCTCTGATTATGCCGTTATTTGCGCACTTTTAAGCAATTTCACGTGATTTTATTATATTTTTTAATCAGTTGTTTCCTCACGTTTTTTCCGGCCTCATTTTTCGTTATTTATGGGGCAAGTCTAACTACTCGCAAACTGGTGTGTATGGCTGGTCATGAGGCTCAACCTGGGAGAACGTATTACTGGTGGTAGGACGTCTTGTGAGTCCGCACGGATAGGTAGCACCACCGTGCCGTGAAGCAGTAATGTATATTAATGTGAAAATGGCAAACAGCAACTATTTAAGAACCAGATATTATTAATTATTTCTCGAAGCCGAAACGGTAATACGTGCCTAGTCTAATGTAAACGAAAAACAATATTTGAATACGTAATAAAACAAGGTAAACACTTGTTTAATAGTTCTCATAAATTCGTGTTTCTTGAGCTTGCAATGTAACGCAAAGGAAGCTGGCCGCCATTATACCACACGCGTTGCATTCCCTTCAGGCAATTGACCTGCGAATTAGTGATTTTTTTATTTGTGCTACATTGCGTAGTATAGAAATCTAAATAAAATCTGACAGTGCAATCACCAAAACGATCTCCCGTCTACATTTCTAAGAAATCTTTCAATTAAATCTGTATTTTGTTAGATCATTGACAAGATCTTCCTATACATTCCAGTTTATAATATTAGATAATATACATGCAAAAGATTAAATATATTCCCTTAATACGCAAACAAAACTTAGTGATTTTACAGGAAAAACAAAAGAACTGAAATATTCCACCTGTTCTCGCTACGATACCGACGACATTGGCTCGTAGCCAGAAAACAATTGCGATTGTTCTAAAAGAGTTTACAATTTGTTTGAACGTAGATTATTACTCTATTGTAAATCACGAAGAAATAAGAATACGCGCTTAACTTTATCAACAATATAATTCGTTACAATAGGCTAGGTTCATTTTGAAATTCTAATATAAATTGGTCGATTTATTTTCACAGTTTCATCTACATTAAAAACTATTGACATCTTATTCTCCATGCATAACACGATACGTATTTATATCTTAAATCACGAAGGATTAAGAAATACGTACTTAACTTTATCAACAGGATAATTCGTTACAATAAATTAGATTTATTTTGAAATAGCAAAATAAATTGACCGCTTTATTTTGCACAGTTTAATCTCAACTGAAAACTATTGACATCTTATTCCCCATGCATGAGACGATACATGTTTGTATGTTAAAAGTAAAACGTGTGCGTAAATTATTTTGAAAAATTACATTCCCGCTTAAAGCGTGGCACAGCCGTTATATAATAATACAACTAGCGAACCCAACAGACGTCTGTACACACACGTCTTAAATACGAAAATTTCAAACTTTTTTTAATAATTTGTAATGATCTGGACTGTTTTGACGAATTGAACAATATTCAATTGAGAATCTAAGCCATTCTCGAACACCCATAAATTAAACTAGATACTCACGGGTAGAACAACTATTTAAACATTAAGATTGACTCTAATTTGATCTCAAGGTGGGTGGCGGCATTCCTGTTATAAAGTTAATGGACCCCGGTGGTCGCTTTCTACGGGTGAGGCATGAGCAAGTTTACCGAAATTCGTAATTAAAAAAAAACGTTAGAGAGTGAGGAATTAAAAAAATATTCAAAATATGTAATCCACGGAAGATTTTTAAGCCGCACACATTTTTAACCTCATTGTATTCAAGCGGTCCTTGAAGAAACATCCCATTGAAATTGTAACACAAGAATCTAATTTGAAATGAACCGCCTCGACCCGAAAACCCGAATTAAAAATGTCTGAACGCTTGAGAAATACGATAAAACACGATTTTATAACCTCATCGCTAAAAATTGATGACTCATTTTTAATTATACAAAATCAAAACAGGTTACAATGTTTTTATTCGTTTTTTTTTACATAATATACAATCCCTCGGGTCGCGACATTCGAACTAGTGATAAAACCCCCATAATTTTAATGAATAAAAATTTACCATAACGGCTTTCACAAAACGGTGAATGTTAAAGGAAATACTTATCCAGAACTGAGCTAAATACTAATTTAAAAATATTGGTGAACTCTGATATTATTATTTTTTCTTCTAGCTTTAGTATTCATAATTTCTTTTAACAAAATAATATCTAGGTATTACAAGGAATCCGTTTATATTTTTCCGAATAAAAAGCAGCCTAGAATATTTTTCATGAAATTTTCTACTTACCAGTGTGCCGGTCAAAATTGGATTAATCCTTTCGAAGATTATCCCATACACACAAAATTTTTAATATGTGATCTTTGTAGTAAACAACCAGACATATGATCTCAAAACAGCCCACAGACGACCACTTACATTTTTTTCAAATTTGAAAAAATACGTCCAATATATTCGTCTTAATACTTAATGTCTTAATTTTAAGTATGTTTATGTTCATGAGTATATGTTTTGAGTATGTTAGATAGTTGTAATAGATAGGCATTTTATATATCTACTAGCGACCCGCCCTCGCTTCGCTTCGGAAACATTAAATTTTATTATTGATAGCCGAAGCCCGCCATGTTGCGCGCGGTACGACAATAACTGCGGGTGACGCCGCGGGGCGAAGCTAGTCTAAAAAAAGTAGCCAAGTTACTCCTTACATCATCAGCTACCTATTAATGAAAGTCTCATCAAAATCGGTCCCACCGTTCCAGAGATTAGCCGGAACAAACAGACAGACAGACAAAAATTGTAAAAAATGTTGTTTTGGTGTATGTACCGTATATATATTCATATGCATGTAGTAAAAAGCGCTTATTTCAATATTACAAACAGATACTGCAATTTTATTTATATGTATAGATTGATACTCTATGATATTCGAAATTAAGTTAAAATTATACTTTCCACGTTATGCGGCCTCGAGATATTTTCGGGTATCGGAAACACTTAATGTACAAGACAACAACAAGTACCTACCGTATAAACCACACGAATATTAAATATTTTTACAAAGATACCGATTTCGACCATAGTCAGGCTCACTAACATAGTACCTAATAGATAATTTTCGCATGAAAATCGATGGTCGAATATTGGTTTCCTATTAATAAAAAATATACTAAATAAAGAAACCTTCTAAATAGAATCTACCTTTTTTATTGCTTAGGGCAATAGACGAGCTTACGGCCCACCCGGTGACTGCTAGCGGAGCCCATAGACATCAACAACGTAAATGCTACCACCCACCTTGAAACACATGAGCTCTAAATCTCAGTTTTTACAGTAAAATGCCTGTAAGTAGTAAATGCCCTACCACCAATAATTACGCAAATTATGATGTTGTCGAGTTCGATTTTTATAGCACGATGTTATTTCTTCATCGTGCAAGTCATACGTAAGTGTGTATTTCAACCGACACCAAGACGACTTCACTAACTAATTGTAAAGTAATCTTTATACATAATCTACATCTATTAAATATATAATTATGGCCTTCTTATTCAGGTTTATCTACACACCGATGATGTTACTATTCACACTAATAATCAAAAGAGTAAGTCAACACTTTTTTGCCAGATTATATTATTATGGTAGAGATCAAGGGACCATTTACAATATCTTACTTTTCAGGAGCAAAATGAGTCATGCTGAGTCATGTGAGGTCGTGCTGAAAGCAGTGCTCTTTGTGCTTAGCTTGTCCAGCGGTGCTCGATACAGCAGATTTCTACAGCTATGTAAATGAATTTTTATGTACATCTGCTGATGAATTTACAATCGTTTTCGATACTCACCTGCGAGAGCCTCGGCACGTAATCGATGTACGGGATATGATAGTACGGGAGCAGAGACGATAGGTAGTACACTGAAGACAGAGGCTGCTGCGAAATATTCCCGTTGGTACATTTTTTTGATGTGTAAACACCTTCGTTTGTTTGTTATATGATCTGTGCTCTTTATATACCTATAGCGCGTGTTTAATTTTCCTCTCAGTATTCTTTTATCCGATTTTTGTGTATCTAAATAGTTGTCAACATATTTTCTTTTATTTTAATAGGTAACCATTTGTTGAATTTGTAATAAAATAAATGTCTAAAGTTAATTGTTGTATAATTTTAATTTGCTAATTTCGTGTTGGCATACGTAAATGAGGAAATTATTGATAATATGTTCCGAGTGTGTAAATTCGTTGAACAGTTATAGAATTTATCCTTGTATGTTTTTTAATCGTAAAAGTGTAGCCAACAAAATTTAGGAAACATTTGTTAGTGACAAAGATCGCGCTCATCATCGATCTGTCAGAAGTCAGGAATAGAAACACAAAGAAAAAAGGAATATTAGAAAGTCGCAAGCTTTATTAAATTTCAGTCTAAATCACATAAATAATAATTTTAACTATAATAAATTACATAGAAAGCTAGATCCACGTCCACTTGTCGTATTAAAGTAGAGCGATCACATTGCGTTACAGCGAATACTGATTATGTGGTTACAAGAGAGGGTGCCGGGACGGGGTTAGGAGTTAGGACAGGCTAGGGGCTGGTCGGGAGCCGGGACGCTAAACGCGATAAGAGTAGTGACGGTAAGTGGTGCCGTAGGGCAGGCGGCCGCTGCTGGTGGACGAGTAGGAGTAGCCTCCGGGACCGCCGAGGTTGCTGGAGCGTTCGCTGGTGTAGGAGTAGCCCCCGGGGCCGCTGCCGGTGCGGCGCTCCACCGTGNACGGGGTTAGGAGTTAGGACAGGCTAGGGGCTGGTCGGGAGCCGGGACGCTAAACGCGATAAGAGTAGTGACGGTAAGTGGTGCCGTAGGGCAGGCGGCCGCTGCTGGTGGACGAGTAGGAGTAGCCTCCGGGACCGCCGAGGTTGCTGGAGCGTTCGCTGGTGTAGGAGTAGCCCCCGGGGCCGCTGCCGGTGCGGCGCTCCACCGTGTTGCTGTACGAGCTGCGCTGAGGCAGGCCGCTGCCCGCCGAGCGCTGGCTCGTGCTCGAGTACGAGTACGAGTACTGCTCCTCGGCACGACGTGGCGCGATCGGGTCGCGGTCCACCACCACGTAGTGCCGCGGCGTCTGCAACAACCGCGTCCTTAATCGCCGTCCGAACGCCGCCCGCCCTCGCACCGACCCGACCAATTACCTACTCTAGCGAGCGAAAGCGACACACGACAACGAACGACTCTGCCACCGCGCAGTCCTCTCAGTACGTGGCGTAGTTACTGTAGTAAACGTGACGATGCGCCGCGTGCAGCGGGCGGCCGTGCGCCTGGGCGAGCAGCACGTCCATGTGGTCGCGCGGCGTGCCCAGAGGGTCCGCCTCGAACGCGCGCTCCCGCTGTCCAACGGTAGAAAGCACACGCGCGCGCGTTTGTTCGCGCGGAGATACGTAAGGCGCGAGAGGCGCCAACTTCGACTCCGGTTTCGGCGGGATGTTTTGTTTGGTGACGGGGTCCAACACGGAGGCGCGCGTGCCCGGCTTGGTGCGCCGCCCGAAGGCCGTCACCGGGTCGGGCACGAGACTCGGCCGCGGCACGAACGGCACCTTCTCCCAGTCCCCGAGCGTCGACCGCTGCAAGCGGAGAATTCCCCGTTAGTCGGCCGAGCGCGACTCCAGCCGTGGCTATATTTGGCGCGCTAGGTGGCTCAGCTTTCCGACTCTGCGCCTCGACACGGAACGACCCACTTGCGACACGCAAGAACGTCCATAGCGGACTAGGACGAAATAGTCGAGGTCAGACTGGCTCTCTTAACGTAAGCAATCGTGTTTACAAGCGAACTCTAAAACGGAGGCAAGTATTAACTTGGGAAGACGACAATTAGCTGTCCCGTTGACGGACGAATGAACAAAACTGAAAAGAGTACGCCTATGTGACTGGGGCGACTTGTCGTCGTAGGATCATGACGAGGGTCGAGTTGGTGCGAGGGGCGTCCGGCTCCCGGGGTATAGTGGAGCGAGGTACAAGGCACGCTCGGTGGGTTAGAGGGCGGCGGCGCCTACTTACCGTCACGCTGTAGGTGGACCTGTAGGGCCGACGCGTCGTGTAGAAGTCACTCTCGTATACCATGGTTAATGCTCGTGTTATCGTTCGGGTTTCACTCGCGACGGCTGCTGCTCGACTGAGACCCAAGCGAGCGCCGCGACGCCGCGCCTTCGCGTCCCTCTTATTTTTAGATCACTGTCATTGCAATTTTCACGTCACAGTTGAAAAGCTCCCGCTTTAAATTCAAATTATGAAAAGACGTGTTTTAATGTCAGCAAGTGGGTGAAGGTGATAATTAATTAAATATACCTAAAGGTAATGCATTCCTACTTAAATTAAATAAATTTATAACAAAACATCTTTATACCTACCTACTGCTTGTTAATGCAATTCAGATTGCAAGAAAGATTTTTGAGTTTACGAGTAGGCGAATTCCAAATATTTTGAATTCTAACATGTGAGTAGGTGGTCCGGAGTAGGTGTTGACTTTCATGTTTGATTCACTTTGTTCATTCCATCGTAAGCGGCGGAATGACGCAGCAATAACGTACATTCGGTACGTAATTACCAAACGTAACATGTTTTGGTATTTCTTGTTTCCGTTTAAAAGCAAACTTGCGGCACATCCGGTGGTAAATGGTCACAGTCGCTCATACACTACCAGTGAGAAGATAAGTATGTACTATAAATGTTGATAAGACTGGTGGGACATGTAGGCCCGCTCGGGTATGTAGGTAACTAGGTACCGCCACCCTTTTTCTTTTTTACACTGGGGAATCCATTGAAGGATACCCGGTCGAGGTGGGTAACGGACCGGGTATGTCGAACTCCGGCGCCTCCAGAGAGGAAGAAGGGGAGAAGAGAAGGACCGAGGTCCTCCACCTCCCCCAATTTGTCACAGGAGACTATGCTTTGAAAAAGACGCGTGAGACACTTGCCCCGCAGAACCGACTACCGACTAAGCACCATCGAGCTCCACCACACCAACTACACGAAACTTACGGTAGCGCAATGCGCGCCGAAAGGCCTGCCACCCAGCACCCTGCCTATTTATACCGCGAAGCATTAATGCGTTTCAGTTTCAAGAATCGAGCAGCAGTTGTACTGTAAAACAGGTCTTAAGACGGGTGGCTACATTTACGTCGTAGATGTCTATGGGCTCGTGTAACCACTTGACACCAGGTGGACCACATATGCCGTGAATATGAATGTCGTCTCTCTCGAGACACAAATCTCATCTAATCAATTTATAAATCAACTGAGTCGGTATATAATTTACAAATAACAAGAGATCCCAATGGGCACTTGAAATGCAAAAACCGATTATTTTCAGACGATCGTCTTCGGGATTATGTTTTTGAGGGATCAAAATTTTATCAATAATACAAACAACAATCAAAAATATGTAACTTAAATTATTTATTTCTCCTTTTACAAAATGACCTTTTAGAATAAAAGAATTTACAATTTTTCTCCATTCGATCGCCACTATCTACGTGGATTTAAATCACAAAGGACCCGGATCGCTCTTTATCTATAAAATTTGGACCCAAAACATAATACAGTTTCATATTATAATTATTATTATTATTATAGTCTATACGACAAATCAAACATCCATTCCCAGACCCACTTCTTTATTGACATATCAGTTTGCCATTACAATAAATCATAACAATTCAGGTCAAACAAAACAACTTACGGTGAACTTAATATAAATATGTGTATCGGTCTGGTGAGCAGAGTCCAGGGATGCGGCGCGTCCGCCGGCCGCAATAAATATCAACCTTATGTACAGGAGTCCACACACGCGACAGATCCCCTCATAATAACCTCTTTAAAAAATTATAATTTATTTCGTTATGTCCTATCTATGAAGGTCTCGCCGCCGCAGCCGGCGCCCTCTCGCGGAGGCGCGGCGTCGCTCGCAGAGACTGCGTTTCACAAATCGACTTCTAGCGGTGTCTAACTCACGGATATTCGTTTACAGTCCCCTTGCGAAACAGACTGGCTCGCTGACGTCATCGAATACAAATTCCACTGCAATATCAGTTCAGATAGAAGAAATTAACTGACTAGCTTTATAGAAAATATCATCTTTCATTATACATTAGATACATTAGTAAGACAGTCTTAAGAGGTATTGCTGTATGTTCTCATAACGTTCGGTGTGACGTCACGGCGGCGCCGCGCGTCGTCATAGTCTGTCCCTCTGTGACCGACAGAGGGGTGGCTCGGTGTGCGGGGCGACGAGGGGCGGTGGTGCGGGGGGCGGGGGAGTGCGGCCTTGCTACTGGGAGGGGTACTGCGCGGAGGGCATGGCGGCCGACGCGTACATGAGAGGCTGCGAGGGGCCGCCCCACCCGGCGCCGCCGCCGCCATTACCGCCCATTCCCATGCGGTACCCCGCTGGAACAATACATTATCACGTTAATTTTTAGTGCCATATAAATAAAATTCAATGCTTACTCGTGTGTATACGAATATTATATACACGCAACTATAATTTGTCTCGCCGGTACCAAGCCTCCGAAGCATGTTAATGATGTTAGTCCATGCTCAACTAAACATTACATCGATTTTAATCAAATTGAAATAAGGCTCAAACTAGAATAGTACATGCGGTTCATAGTTCATAGCGGAAATAGATGAAACAGTAACAATGATTCGAACGGACTCAACACGAAAACGGAACTCAGTAAAGTCAAATTTTCATTTAGAAATAAATAGAACATTCGGCTGTGGAAGTATACTTTAACCTGACTCATATAAAACGGGACAGTTATTTCCAAATTATTCCCGAATTATGTCCGCGAAAGAAACGGTTTGCTGTGTCGTCAATTTATTTTCACTTGTCGTTGTGCCCCCCATGGGGAAACCCCGGATTCAAAAGATTGTTTTCCAGATAGACAAATGTTACTCCTCCTCATTAATACCAGCAGCCTATCAGATATACTGTACAGCCGGTGGCCCAGTTTGAGATTTTGTCACCCACCCACCTTTAGATATAATTTCTGAGGTCTCAGTATAGTTACAAATTACGCAACGTAATTACTGGTGGTAAGACCTCTTGTGAGTCCGCACGGGTAGGTACTACCGCCCCGCCTATTTCTGCCGTGAAGCAATAATGCGTTTCGGTTTGAAGGGTGGGGCAGCCGTTGTAACTATACTGAGATCTTAGAACTTATATCTCAAGGTGGGTGGCGCATTTACGCTGTAGATGTCTATGGGCTCCAGTAACCACTTAACACCAGGTGGGCTGTGAGCTCGTCCACACATCTAAGCAATAAAAAAAAAAAATTGCGGATTTTATTTTTATTACACGATGTTATTCCTTCGCCGTGGAAGTCAATCGTCAAAATTTCTTATGTACGTATTTCATTAGAAAAGCTGGTACCCGCCTGCGGGATTCGAACACCGGTGCATCGCTCAAGGATAGCCTTAGGATAGTCTTTAAACTCAGTTCAGTTTTAACAAGAATCGCATAAGTGACATTATAGCCCTGTATGTGCGAATTATATTCGTTTATATACATACTAGCTGTACCCGTCCGCTTCGTTGGGCATTTAAAATTAACATTATTATTTCTCACTCCCACAAAGATTCTCATCATTAACGCCCCCGCAACTGGTGTAGGGAGTCCAACGCTCATATAAATATTAGCCTATGCATTAAGTATATGTACTTTCTACATGGATGCCAAGTTTCAAGTCGATCGGATGCCTGGTTCAGTAGTTACAACGGAACATCCGTAAAAACCACTGTAGATTTATATATTAGTATAGATAAGAATATTTACCTGCCGCGGCGGCCTGGGGGTTGCTGTACGCGGCCGCGTACTGCTGGTAGTACCCGGGAGCCATGTAGCCCTGTAACGCAGGGTAACCCTGGAAATTATATGGGAAACAATATTACTTTGTTCGCCTCGACTGTGAGACGACAATGTTTACGTGAAAAAAAAAAGAATCATCTATATAAATTGTACAAGTATAGATAATTTTAAAGCATCATTGTTACAATGGCTACAATTAATTTTAGTTGTATAATCTTAGCTGGTCTTTGTTTTAAGCATAGGATACTCGTATTCAAATTTATATTATTTAAATAAAAGTCGTTAAAACGTAAATTACGACGTTCGATCAAAAAGTTTAGTTGAAATTAGAAAAATAAATTCTTTTTTGTAAATATTAGTGATAAAGATTCATTTTTTTAATAATAAAATTTGTCATGTATGTGAAGTTTGTTTAAATAATAGAGGGCTACCAAAACCTATACATATTTTTGGAACTCAGACGAAAAGCCTCCTTGATTCAGATGACTGGGTCGAAACACATATCCCAACTTTTTCATGGGAGAAATATATACTACTTTTTTTATTGCTTATATGGGTGGACGTGCTCACAGCCCACCTGGTGTTAAGTGGTTAGCGGAGCCCATAGACATCTACAACGTAAATGCGCCACACACCTTGAGATATAAGTTCTAAGGTCTCAGTATAGTTACAGCTGTTATTACCATCACTTAGTGACTTTAATAAGCGAGGTAATATCCAAACACACGGAGTACCTGATAGTATATTCCTTAGTGACACAGTTTCGTCACGGACATGCCACTATGTCAATTTAAAACAAAAGTGAAACACTTCTTTGTCACTTCGACTAACGTAATCAGAAAACTTTCTTCACAGTCCGTCGTTATACAATGGAAGGAAAATTAAAATTCAAATTTTACGAGCACGGATCTGGCAATATGCAAATCGACGTTCGTTCCAAGCGCGTAACGTACGACACGATCGTATTTCATATCTATTGTGTAGTTTCTTTTACGTGTCATGTAAATAAAAGAATTATTCTCTAAATAATAATCGGAATGAATACAATCTTGCTTCTATATATGTGGTTTAATGAGACAATATAATTTATATTAATATTTCGTGTGGCCTCAGTTCGAGGCGAGGACAACTGTCAACTAAAGTCTACATCTGACAGATCCAAGCAACATATGATTTTTGTTTATTATACAATGCGTAGTCAACTTGAAATAAACTTCATAATAGTACTAGAGTATACAGTAAAAGTCCCGGGCATCGTCCTATCGCATGCGACGAAGGTCTCGGCGAGTAAATTAACCCATAGACACAGCCCAGAGTTTTTCGCCGGAAATTCTCAGTGGGTCGCGTTTCCGATCCGGAGGTAGATTCTGCGAAGCACTGCTCTTGCTAGTAGGGACAGTGTTAGCAAATCCTCCGGTTTGAGCCCCAAGAGCTCACCTACACGCTAGGGTAACGCTGATATAGCCTCTCAAGGCTTCCAGAATAGGTAAAAAGAAAAAAAAAAACAGTATAAGGAAAATGGGCAATGTAGTACTACGGAAGAAGATCAAATGTCTCCAAAAAGTACTAATACTAAAGTAAGCTACTGTCGTTCTAATAATAATAAAGTGCTTTTATTAGAACGACAGGAACAAACAAACATCGCAAGTAGCAAAGGTAAATTTGAAAAACACTTGCTTTTTTTACTGCTTAGATGGGTGAACGAGCTCACAGCCCACCTGATATTAATTGGTTACCGGAGCCCATAGACTTCTACAACTTAAATGCCGCCACCCACTTTGAGATAAGAGTTCTAAGGTCTCAGTATAGTTACAACGACTGCCCCGCCCTTCAAACCGAAACGCATTACCGCTTCACGGCAGAAATAGGCAAGATGGTGGTACCTACCCGTACGGACTCACAAGAGGTCCTAAAACCAGTAAAAATCTCTACTTATGCGAAATAGTATTTACTTAAAGCATTATTCACTTGTGTTCAATGGCCCCAAATTTGCACGTATTAACATCAAACAGTAGGACATACAACGTTTTATATATATCAGCGTCGTAAAACAATTCCTCTTCTGTGCCCAAATTGATTGTCATAATTTATATTAATGCTAGTGAAGCTTTTCCTATCGCAATTCCTATGTTATTTTAGGGATCAATTATTTCAGTCGAAACAGCATTTTTAGAATCAATTTCGCTATACCCTATTCCAATTACGAAGTCCCATGAAACAGGTGTGATTATTATGTTCTTGTGTGTTTGTGTGAATTAATTGTATAATTCACACAAACAGATTGATTGTGTTTGTTTTAAATGATGTTTAACGACCATGAACAAAAAATGATATTTCAAATTATTTGAAACATGAAGAGTTATGTTCTATGAAGTGTCAAAAGAGACTTCGTAATTGGAATACAGTATAGAGACAATTCTTTTCGCGCCTTAATTATTTCAAGCACAAGAGGTCATTAAAAAAAAAATGTACTTTCAATTTCGGAAATTCCCGGTTACCTACAAAACGTACATGATTTTTTTTTTATTGCATTTGTAAGCAGACGAGCATACGGCCCACCTGATGGTAAGTGGTTATCGTCGCTCATGGACGTCACCAATGCTAGAGGCACAGTCAAGTTGCTGCCTAACATTGTATCAATCTAACGAGAGATTTCCTGTTTAAACTAATTAAATCCACAAATTCATTAGTTACATTTAACGTTGCATGAATATTGTTCGATGTAGTACATTAAATCAGATTGAGCTGACGCGTTGTTTTTGATGCATTGAAATTGTTTTTTTTTTTTTTTTTTTCAAATTAAAAACCAATTTTAAAACTATAAAATCTTATATTATGATTAAGAAAAATGCTTATTTTCACTCAAGCTTACAATGAATCGATTTAAATTCAATTCAGTTTCTGAATTAAAATTTACTATAGCTTGGTTATTGTTTTTATTAACACTTATTACAATTATGCAAGTACTTTCCTAGATGTCAGCAATTACTGTATAGATAAGGCTTTTTAACGATTTACAAAAAAAAAAAAAAAAACGATTAATAATACCTTATATTGGTGATAATTGTAAGCCCGCGCGGGTAGGTAACAGAATCCTACCGTTCCGAATTGAAGGTTTGGAGAGACTTTACAGAACCTAGTCGCGATCCCTTCTCACAGTGGTCGACGCGGTTATCATCAGATGGGCCGTTAGCTCATTCACCCATCAATATCCTCATCATCAATCCAAATATTATTTTTATAAAAGAGTAAAATTAAGCTAATCAATACAATATAATTAACTAAAAATCCTGAGATACGTGGAGAATTTGTTTAAAAAAACCAAGTCTTTATTATAGTTATATTTCGCCAGATGTATGAAATAAATCTTGTAAATGATATTGAGCTAAAACTGAGTTACAGTGTTTTTCCTTGTGCACCTGTCGTTTTATTACTGATAGTCATGGTACGAAACAAATAAAATATAACCGGTTGTTTCATTTTTATTTTAAACTTTAGCATCAAATGTGTTGTTATAACAGAGTCGAATGCTGATATATGACGTGATATCATTCGTGCATTCGCAAGCAGCACTGCGCTCGTCAGCACTAGCAATTGGCCGCGATGCAAAGACCTCAACGACTAAAAGAAGAAAGGATGCAACTTGTCCCTCTAAAATGAACCCATGATGCGGGATCAAAAAAACAATTTGCCAGCAGTGATTACTCACATTTTTAATACCTCTATTGTAAGGGGCCGACTTTGGCTTAGTAGGGATTTATTTTGAAAAAAAAAAAAAAAAAAAAAAAAAACAACTCAAAAGTTAGGCTACAGACACACATATTATTATGTACATCCCCACCTGTCCTAGTGAAACTGGAAAGGCCTCCGGGCCATCAGTAATTCTTCTATCATTACAAAAAAATATGTACATCGACCTGACAGACACGCAATGGACACAGCCTAAGCTGATAAAAGAAATATACGATTAAAGTGAATTTCAATGAAGTTTTTAAAAACATCGCCCTCTGTACTAACTCTTTGAGCGCGAATAGTCGATAGATCGACTATTATCTATTAATGCGTATAAAATGCGGAGCGTCGAAATACCGACTATATGCGCAGTTTGATTATATGGATGAGATATCGACCTGAACGGATGTATCTTAGCGCACGCACGTATAACGTTTTAAAAGTTATTAACGTTTATAAATAATCGTTTTAAATTATTTTGCTGTGAATTTAGCTTTAGTTTTTTATAAGGTACTTTTTTTTCTATCGAAAATCCTTTAGCAATATCTGCAAAATATGTGTGAAAATTAACTCAGCACTAAAAGGGTTAAGAACCATTTGTACATTGCTGTATCGACATCACTTTGTAACAGTCTAGATTTCTACAAACATACATGAAACCACAATGCCCACATAATTTAAAGAAATCTTTCCTTATTTGTTGACCTCAACAAACAATTTAACATCATTAGACGGGATAAAAACAATTATGGTCCCACTTTCCTAATCAGTGATAACGTCCAACACTTGATAACGTTATTAATCACATAGCAACGTCAAATTTGAATTTCAAAACAAAACTCTACATGAGTTTGACAATTTTTAAGCAAATACCGTGGAAAGAATTCCCAAAAGCAGTAAATAACTAACTATTACCTGCAGCTTCGTCCGTGTGGTCAAGGTCAATTAATTTATCTACTACATAATCTGTCCTATGTGACAATCCCGACCAAAAACTAAACTTTAAAAAAATTCTGTCAATCCATTGCTTCTTTTTGAGGTGATGAATGGACAAACAAACAAACACTATTATAATAATACCAGTATGCATACATATTCATACTTCACAAAAAGGCAATGTACTGTGTATAGCAGCAACAGAAGGCATGGTGTATCTTTAGACAGAAACAATATTTAAACAAACGTCTAGTAGAAGTTATGCTTAGTACTTGCCATTTTGATTGCAGCGTCTACTACCTTTACTTACTACCTTAATATTGTTTAGTCTGAGCACACACATGTGGTTTATTTACCTGAGCATACCAATAGCCCATTCCTTGCTGATACGGGTAAGGATATTGGGACTGGCCGCCCATCGCTGGAGGCGCCGCCGACGAGTTGTTCCCGCTCTGAAAAACAACAATGACAATTACTAAAGCTCATTTGAGATAGTATTAAAATTCTAATAAATACACAAATACACTAAAATACATGTTTCTGGGACGAAACGACTTTGGAATCCCTCAAAAAATATTATACAATTAACAATGGATCATGCACTACTTTTTATTTATATAAGGGTCCCTCTAAAATATATATATTTAGACTACATTATCTAAAATTGACTGAATAAAGTAGATAACATTACATATTAAAAGTACTTTAAATTTTTTATTCTACTCCAAGAACCCTTGTATAAAATTACGACTCAAAAGCCCTTCCTCCCTTAGGGGAATAAAAAAAAAACTAATAATGAATACAATTCTGGATGGAAATTCCACTGACATACAAAACGTAAACACAAATAGATAACCTGATCTGGGACCGTGCTGTTCGAGTCTGCCGTGTGTCGAACCTGTGGGCCAAAGTTACTACAAATGGACAGAGTTACTACATAATCAAAAAACTGTTATCAATTATGTACCATTCAATATTTTCAGGATATATTTTTATTTTATTAATAATCTAAACAAACTATTATTTATTGTAATGTATTCTATTGTAATCTAAAATTTTTGTTATATAACTTTATTTATTTCTTTTGAAAGTGATATTCTGCTGATAATTTCTTTCACTATTTAATATAACTTGGTTGCAACAATTTTTTTATCAATTTCAAATAACTAATCTGATAAAATTTATCTGTTCAGTCTAAACTTGAAAATTGTTAATTTTTTGTGTTAAATTCAGTACTAAATTTGCATATGAAATAATACTTTGGACCAAAGTGCCGAATATTAATAAATAATCTAAATAGACTAGTTTAAATATTCAAACTTTCGACTGACAATTTAATTTATAAATTTGTTGTTTGTTTAGGTGTAATGAGTTTAATTCATGTTTCAAGAATCTACCTAATCTTGTGTTTTATTCAAATAGCAGCTAAACACTACCTTAACTTTTGCCATTATATCTCCTGTGATATTTTAAGTTCAAGCTGTTTGGAAAAACTAAAAAGTCATACGAGTGTTGCATCATTTTCAGTAATTATCTTTACATTTATCTACATTGGCACCTTTGCGAGTTTAGTAGTGTAGACTTTGTAATAGAATTGTTTAATTCCTAAATAAAAAAAAATAAGATAGAATTTCGTTTTCCGTGATTAAAATTTAAACTAATTGATGCATCGTCTAAAATAGAATGTCAGCATAATTGTTTAGAGGATAGATAGCAATAATCTGTTTTTTATTAATTAACTTTTATTATTTAATAATTTGTTTGTTCCTAATTTGTTTTTTATCCATAGTCCACATAAGTATGTATCAGCATCCTGTCCATTTCTACCAAGAACAAGGAAATGTAGTTGTAACGCTGGTAATAATGTCATACTATAATAATTGCCTTAATCAAACAACTAAGAAAAAGGAAAGTCCAATGACTGAAGTAAACAAATGCATGTTTATCATTAACGAACAGCAAAAAACCATCTTGCTAAGAATTTAGTCTGTAATTTACAAATAGCATTGACCTGAATTTCATTTGCGCATTATTTCTGCAAACTGAAATACATAAAGAGATTCAGTTGATGTTTGTTGTCATTTATTTTTGTATTTTGTTTATAAAATTATTTTTATTAGGGCAGTTATGGTAAGGTCTTGAGAGCCTAACTTCAACTAATTGCTATTTTTGTTTAGGGATGGATGGGTGTGGGTTAATAAATACATTGTTTATGAATTGTTTCCACTATAGCATTAGAAGTTTTATCTATACATTTTATCATGTTGCTAAGGCAACAGGATAACAATTTCAATTCATTGGCTATTCTCATGTAACTATTATTAGACAATTCCAATTTACAGAAAATACTTGAAATTTTATGCAAAAATGTGTACATTTTACATTTTTATTATTTATACTGTTAATAAAAACAGGTTTCAAATTTATGCTTTTACTTTATGTTGTATTTCTCAAAAATTAAGGAAAATAGCTAACTGATCATATTATTACAATTTAATATGTTCAAAATGCTAAAATCATCTTGCAAAAACTTGACCACAACAGGTGCAAAGGCCAGCTGTTTCATATGCAAATTAAATCTCACATTTTTCTATGAATTTCTAACCTTCCAAGATATAGAATATGTATTTAGTATTTAGCAAGTAGGTATTTAATTCCAGAAAGATATATATTTCATTTTATTATACTTATGAAATCCACTCAAAATACTGCTAAAAATCATCTTTTTAAAGACCATGAGATCCCTATCTATGTGGGTTAGTCAAAAATGTAGTCGGTAATGAAAATTATTTGTTTCAGATTCTAAAAGTTGTTAGTAGTTCACTTAAGCATTTTTTAAGTCGTATTCTCATTTCAAGCTAATATAATATCCCAATTTAAGACTTATTTCTAGAAAGGGCAAGCTATAGACCGGGAATTATGTAATGTTAATTACCACAAATCATACAAACCTGGTTTTCAGCACCTCCATTCTCTTTCCCCCAGAAACATTTGACTGTGTGACCGCTTATTTCTGTATTGTGTGTAGCTTCTATGGCATGTGCTGCAGCTTCCTTTGTAGTAAACCTAATGAATGCATAGCCCTTATCTCTGAAAACTCTGATGTCCTGTATCTGACCAAATTGTGAGAATGTGTTCTGCATTAACTCTTCAGTAATAATGTTGCTTGTGAAACCGCCACAGTAAACTGTGGTGTTTGTCGGTGAGCTTTGATTATAAACTTCGTCAAATGTTGGCTGTTTTGCTCTCTTACTACTGGGCGCGCCTTCATTCACACCCTTCGCTGGTGGTTTGCGCGTTGACCAGTTCGTACGTATGGATCTTGATCCCAGCCACTGGCCATTCATTGCCTGGATGGCAGCTTCGGCATCTGCTTTCTTTACAAATGATACAAAAGCATAACCCTTGGATTTGAGCGTTTGAGGATCGCGTACTATGCGACAGTTCGATATCTCACCAAATGGAGCGAAGGCCTCTCGGAGTATGTTTGTTTCGATTTCTGGAGAAANTGACCAGTTCGTACGTATGGATCTTGATCCCAGCCACTGGCCATTCATTGCCTGGATGGCAGCTTCGGCATCTGCTTTCTTTACAAATGATACAAAAGCATAACCCTTGGATTTGAGCGTTTGAGGATCGCGTACTATGCGACAGTTCGATATCTCACCAAATGGAGCGAAGGCCTCTCGGAGTATGTTTGTTTCGATTTCTGGAGACAGATCGCCCACGAATATGTGATGATGATTACTAGTGTCCGTCTTCGGCTGGTTACCAGGACTCGTCGCCCAATTAACCTTCATTTCCTTGTCGAGGACCACTCGCTTGTTCATGGCGGCCAGCGCTGTGGCCGCCGCCGTGTGACACGTAAACTCGAGAAATGCATACGGGTCATTTCCTGGCTCCCGTATAATCTTGCAACCTTTTACATCGCCTATTTGACCAAACAACGTACATAGGAAAACTTCTGTGACACTCGGGTCCAAATTACCGACGTAGAGAGTTTTCGGGTGGCTTTCGTCGCCCATATTAGCTTATCGTAATCTGTCGATTACTTTTTTAACGTCTATGAACACTAATTTCAATATTAATCGCTTAACAACGTGTTATTTCATCACTTATAACATTGGATAACGAATAAATGAAAGAAAAATGTCGCAAACAGCGCTTAGAACTTCTCGAAAAACGATGCTGTTGACTCGTGAAACGTTCACTTTTCGGAAACAAACGCATCTATAGACGAATTTCCGGTCGAATGAATTTGAAATGATGGCGGGAGATTTTTTTAAACAAGTGTATGCAACCTTTTTTAATGAAAAAAAATAATAGAATTTATTAAAGGAACACGTGCAAATAATTTAATAATTATTAAATGATTTAAGTAAACGAAACATTAAAATATTTAATTTTAATAATATTAGCCATAGTAAATATAAACCGAGATCCATAAACAATATCAAAATCTTTCCGGAAACGAGTGTCAACTTGAAAGTCTATGACTCATTGTGAAAGTGCTCTTTCATTTACATTTACATTGGTGTGGATTTTTCAGTTCTTGAAACATCATTGGACAAAGAGTTGTTGGTCCTGTATAATAACCAATCAAATGGCTTTCGTTATTAGTACCATAAGCAATCGTCAACACAATGAAAAAGAAAAAAACAAAACTTAACCTTTGAAAAATATGAACAAAGAATACATTAATTTCTTTGTCCTTTACTATAATAAAATTAAATACCTACGCAATGAAATTATTGTTCATGGTTTTAGATATTAGTTCTAAATAACGAAAGAGCAATTTTTAATTACTTTTATCGCGGTTGTAGACTCATCTGTGACCTGCCTTACAAGTAATTATGTAGTAATTTGATTTGCCTCAATGATAATTGCGCGATAATTTTACTGCTTAGGCTCTTCCATATTGTATTTTGTGTGGTTCGAGGTATGATGGTGTAAATGATTGATGCTTCTATGGCTTTACTCTTTACAGGACTCCGTGTACATTACGTTCTTTAAAACTAATACTTATAGCGTGATATTAGCAAATTAAAAAAAAAAGTCATACAAAATATATGTAGTTTTAAAATTTTACCGGAGACAAGCTCTACCTTGAAACTAAATGAATATTTAAAATGTTTTTACCCTGTAAAGTATTATACGTTCTATAAACAAAATGTATAATTGCTAATTAAAATATATATTTATCTATATATTTATATACATATTATTTTACTGCCAGTGAAATAGTTTTATTTTTGGACAAATTTGCTGAGACTTAAAGTTTGAGTCTTAAACTAATTAAAATACTTGACGGCGTTAACGATATTTCTGTTATACAGCACGTGCAATAGGAGTGACTCATACACAAGCCAGGTGCGCCGGCCGTGTCATTCCACTCGTAAAACAGCACTTGCAACAGGATTGACTCATAAATAAGCCAGGTGCCCCGGCCGTTATAAAAAGGTGGTATGTGCCTCGCAATGGACCCGGTCACTCGGTCAGCGAATTAACCCATAGACACAGCCTACTGAGTTTCTCGCCGGATCTTCTCAGTGGGTCGCGTTTCCGATCCGGTGGTTCTGCGAAGCACTGCTCTTGCTAGAGTCTAGCAAATCTCCGGTTTGAGCCCCGTGAGCGCACCTAAAAACGTTAGGGTGAAGCTGAAATAGCCTCTCAAGGCTATCGGCATAGGTAGGGAAAAAAAAACGCAATCGACATTCGTTCGACTGGGTTTACCCGGTGCACTTGCTATATTATTGTTACGTTATGTGATTAAGTGATTGTTGTACGTACTGGTAAGGTTCGATAAGTGTCAAAGTGAATTAAGTTATCATATTGTTGATTAAATCAGGAATCAAAAAGTGTCTTCGTTTTACTTAGTGTTTAACAAGATAATGTCTACCGCGGATCCTATATACTTTTTTTTGAACAACATAATAAAATAAATCTGAACAGTTGTCGTTTTTTTTTTAATTAGTTACTTTTAATCTAGAATTATTTTATTATTTAGTCGTCGTGGCCTAAAAGATAAGACGTTCGGTGCATTCGTGTTGAAGCGATGCACCGATGTTCGAATCCCGCAGGCGGGTACCAATTTTTCTAATGAAATACGTACTTAACAAATGTTCACGATTGACTTCCACGGTGAAGGAATAACATCGTGTAATAAAAGTGAAACCCGCAAAATTATAATTTGCGTAATTACTGGTGGTAGGACCTGTTGTGAGTCCGCACGGGTAGGTACCACCGCTCTGCCTATTTCTGCCGTGAAGCAGTAATGCGTTTCGGTTCGAAGGGTGGGGTAGCCGTTGTAACTATACTGAGACCTTACAACTTATATCTCAAGGTGGGTGGCGCATTTACGTTGTAGATGTCTATGGGCTCCAGTAACCACTTAACATCAGGTGGGCTGTGAGCTCGTCCACCCATCTAAGCAATAAAAAAAAAAAAAAAAAATTTAGTAAGAGAATTTCATGAAATCATAATGAGTGATAGGCTCTTAGTGCGTTTAATTGATGTATTGCACTGACTAACTCACATAGGTCAACCGTTCCCGTATCTGTTATGATTTGAAAAAAAAAATGGTTTCTGTAAAGTATTTGGTTTTGTTCACTTGTAAAAAACTTGTAAATTATAGACATGTCATTTGACATAACATAGATTTCAGTGATTTGACATTTTTGTATTTTTTGACAATGGCACACTGATACCGTCAGCCGTCACGACAACTGAACAATTTAAAGTTTTGTAAAATTAAATGAAAATATTAATAGATCATGTATATTGCGACCTGAAAACTTCAATGAATACATAATCAACATTAATTTTAAAAATAATATTAAATCAGATATTCTGATCATTACAATCGTCGAGGTTATGTACCGATCGTAAGGTACACGTATACAGTGTGTATTTTTTAATTTTTGTGATTTTTGAATGAATCGATATGAAATGACGTGAGGTTTTTGACGAGACAATAGGCAGTATTGAAGATACTATGTTACCACTTATACAGAAGGATACACGGCCGTCCCGTGGTCCCATCTCCGGGATTAAAGAAAAGTTTCAAAATTGGCTCCGGTTAATTTATTCCGATAAGAATTCAAGGAATTTATTCCTTTTCTTATTACTAAATTTATCATTTGCCTTCGTAGAGCTCTTTTACGGAGTATGGACAAACAGCTTAGGTAAGATGAACTTATTTTCCCTAAACTTATATTAGATAGATAGAACCTTTCATCAGTAATATTACTTTAAGCATAAGATAAACCTACTTTTTTAATATTGTCAAAACAGATAAAATTAATTGTCTTGTATAATAATACAATTTGGAAACAGACATCATCACTATTATCATTATTTTTCCTAAGTTTTAGCAGTACATCTTTGATAAACTATTTATTTCATATACACGTTTAAAAGTTTTGTGAACTCAAACAAACAGAACTAAAAACCATTTTCTATTTTAGGTCTTATATCAGATGCATTCCATATGTTTTTCGACTGCACGGGTCTGGTTGCCGGGTTGGCAGCTTCACTGGTATCAAAATGGAGGTCCAATGAAAGATTCTCTTATGGTTATGCAAGAGCTGAAGTACTAGCTGGATTTGTTAATGGATTATTTCTTTTGTTTATTGCATTCTTCATTATGAGCGAAGCTGTTGAGAGAGCTATAGAGCCACCAGAGGTGAGAAGTTTACCAATAATTCCTTATTTATTTCATTGTTGTTATAGTGGTCAAGATTTGTTTTTCAAATACTTTACTTTCTACTGGTGGTAGGACATCTTGTGAGTCCGCACGGGTAGGTACCACCACCCTGCCTATTTCTGTCGTAAAGCAGTAATGCGTTTTGATTTGAAGGGCGGGGCAGCCGTTGTAACTGTACTGAGACCTTAGAACTTATATCTCAAGGTGGGTGATGCATTTACGTTGTTGGTGTCTAAGGGCTCCAGTAACCACTTAACATCAGGTGGGCTGTGAGCTTGTCCACCCATATAAGCAATAAAAATAATAATAATAGCCTAGAACTTTACGAATGAGTTAAAAAAGAGAGACTTTACTCTGTGGAGCTCATGAATGTGCATTTCAATTATAATTATAAAATAAAAAGAGTGTCAATCAATATTAATTACACAACATACAGATAGTGTTTTTAGATATAAATATAATAAAACTTGATAAAACATCATCAACTTTATCTACAACTTACAAATGATAAAAACTGCACACTGTGTTAAATTATTTTTTGTGGCATATTTGAGTGAACTCCCTGCTGTGGTGTTAAATATTTGCTGGAATCTTTAGACACGTTGATCATCAGATTGTGGTGAAAGCAGGGTGCATGCTTAAAATACAACCTACGACCATAATAATTTTGTAGAAAGACAAACAGTTATAACAAGGAATTATGGGTTGCAATTGAATGACTAAAAGTTAATTGAAAATTGTTTAATTAGGATTATTGTGATAAGTTAATCAATTTTACAGATTCAGACCAGTAAATCATGTCATACTTTGTAGTGCCTATTGTGAGATACTGCATTATGTTAAGATGTTCATCATTATGGCTCAAAGCATATGGTAGTATCAATTTTTTGATCTATCTACCAAAACCTGATTTATTGTAAAGTAAATTCAAAACGACCACTTCGATAAAGCGGCACGACACGAGAACCCTCATCGTGGCCGCCGGTAACTACATTCCCGATCCTGCGGACAGAACGGAAAGCAGTCGATGTCGCCCAAAACCCGTCATTTCGGATCCTCCCGATCCACTAACGGTGCTTTTAGGTATCTCATGCACTGGTCATCGTTCTCGTCGAACCCGTCGCTTGCGACGGAGGGCTCCACGAGTAAATTAACCCAGACACAGCCCACTGAGTTTCTCGCCAGATCTTCTCAGTGGGTCGCGTTTCCGATCCGGTGTTAGATTCTACGATGCACGGCTTTTGCTAGTGTTCGTGTTAGCAACGTCGTCAGGTTTGAGCTCCGTGAGCTCACCTACTAGTTAAGGTTACGCTGAAATAGCCTCTCAAGGCTATCAGCTTATTTAGTAAAAAAAAAAGCAAAACGACATAGCAAACAATAAGGGAATACATACAAGGGAAACATTGGGCAAATACTTTGATTTTTTTTAATTCCTCAAACTTTCACTGCCTCACAGTCTATCAAAGAGAACGAGAACGTATTTCCGACACAAGATTTGAAAATGTTTTCGTAATTACATTGCAA